CTGTTGCTTGCCACCAGCCTGAGTCTTGACGCGAGAGTATCCACCATATATGACTGCACCTTGCTCATGTGGCAGCAGACTAAAGCTCGATCGCGCGTCAGGTACTGCGCGGGCTGCTTGGAGCTTTGGTGTATGCCACGAAAAGTTGACGCAGTCGTAAATCCAAAGATCGTTGAGATATTTTGTGGTAGCAGATGTATCTTGGAAACCTCCAAATAGGACGATATATTGTTTGAAACCAACCATGCGATGTCCGCTTCGCGCTGGCGGAGCGGCTGTCTTGCTCTTTCCCTCCATGCGCGTCCATTCTCTAGTGACCGGATCGAGCTTCCAAAAGTCATTGTAGTGATAGAACGTCCCTTGCTTCGGAGAACTAAACTCTCCGCCGAATAGATAAATTTCTTTCGTGTTTGCCGCCCGGCACCAGGCATGCCCAGATCGAGGCAGTGGCGAGTTCGGACTTGTGACTTGTTTCCAGGAATCTTGCTTGACGTTGTAGATCATGAGATCGTTGAAGAACTTCGCGGTCGCTCCGTTGAAATACTCGCCTCCGAACAAGAAGATCTCATTCTCGTTTGCTGGATTGGCAATGAGGGTGCTTGAAGTCCGGGCAGAGGGCGGCTCAGCGGGTATCTCCGTTATCGCATGATGTTGTTCCTGCTCTTTCGCGTACTGTGCTAAGATGTCATCTAGGTCGACATCTTCCGCGTCGGAGTCGATCTCCTGTGTCTTCGAGGCGACCTTCTTGTCTTTCTTGCCTGCTTTCTTCTCTTGCTTGGCTGCCTTTGCTGCTTTAGCTGCAGCTTTGCCTCCCGCTGCCGCCTTCTTCTTGTCCTTAGCCATTTCTCAACCTGGGACCTGAATCAATGCAGTCGCAAAACGCTGTATGTGTGGCAGCTGTTCGGTCTGCCGATAGAAAGTTCTCCGCGTTTTGCCCCTCAATTGGAAATTTTCCCAACGTTGGCGTTGATTCTACAGCACCTTGCTTCTGACTTTGCAAACACCCGAAGTGATTGCAATCAAGTATTCAATTCCGAATAACCCTAATCAATAAGCACGTTCTTGCAAGTGCAAGTGCGAATTGTCGCGTGCAGCCTGTTCAGTATCGTAAATCCTTCGGAGCAGGCGCTACGGGGTGGGCTTCCTTATCGATAGCAACCATACATTCACTCCCCGCCTTACATCTAACACTACAAACGATGACGAAAATGATACAAGCGGCAAAGATCCTAGGACAGAAGAGTCACGTAGTTCCTGGTATTACACTAACCTCGCACACTCGGCCAGCTCTCCGAACTAATCATAGTCAGGCAAGCTACGAATTACGGAGCACTTCTTCGAAGTACCTCGTGACTATGGTACGTTGCAAAACCCATTTTCAAATCGTCGTTTGCTATCTGAAAGTCGTAACACAGAGCAGGACTGCGAGCTCAATAGCTATATATGATGATACTATCGTGCTGACACTTCCTTCCTCTCTAGGCAATCCTTCGGCAGGAACAATCCAGCTCTTCGCACGCTCTGCTCTGAAAGCCGAGAAGCCCGCAGACTACACTTCAAAGTCACATCTCGAGCTCTCCAAGACCCAGCTTCCATGGCTCGTATATCTGCAAGGCGGCCCAGGCTTCGAGTGCCGAAGCCCCGAAAAAGTCTCATGGACTCAAACAATTCTCGATAAAGGTTACCGAGTGCTCATGCTAGACCAACGTGGAACTGGTCTTTCAACTGCAATAAGCCAGTCAAGTTTACAGTTAAGGGGTGACGAGAAAGTGCAGGCAGATTATATGAAGAGCTTCAGGGCTGATAGTATTGTCAAGGACTGCGAGGCCGTAAGAAAAGCATTGACCGAGGATTACCCCGAAGAGAAAAAGAAATGGAGCATCATGGGACAGAGCTTTGGAGGATTCTGTTGCTTGACTTACTTGTCTCACTACCCCGAAGGAGTCAAAGAAGCGTTTCTTTTTGGCGGCTTGCCACCACTAAGAGATGACCCAGATGAAGTTTACGAGCGCCTATACGCACGTGTCAAGAGCAGGAACGAAGGATATTACGCAAAGTATCCTGAAGACATTGATCGCGTTAAACGCATTGTCAAACTCCTCTCTCGTTTCGGCGACACGACTGTGCGCGTCCAAGGCGGCGAAGGCTTCCTTTCTGCACGTCGCTTCCTGCAGCTTGGAATCTACTTCGGTAAACATGGAGGTTTTGATGATGTCCACGAATTTGTTCTCCGCGCCGATACTGATCTGACCCAATTCGGACATTTGACACGACCCACCGTTCTCGCGCTAGAGGCAGCACAGAGCTGGGACACGAACGTCATTTATGCACTTCTCCATGAGCCAATCTATTGTCAAGGAAAGGCGTCGAATTGGTCTGCGGAGCGTCTCATTTCCAAACACCCCGAGTTCTCGCTTTCCTGTGTGGATGGCGACGAGCCTGTCTACTTTACAGGCGAGATGATCTATCCCTTCATGTTCGATGTTTACCCAGAGCTCGCCAAGCTCAAGACTGTTGGCAACCTTCTGGCCGAAGAGAAAGACTGGCCGCAACTGTACGACAAAGAGCAGCTGAAGAAGAACGACGTGCCTACTTATGCTGCAGTCTACGTTGACGACATGTATGTTGACCTTGATCTGAGCATGGAGACAGCAAATTCTATCAGGGGATGCAAGACTTTCATTACGAACACGATGTACCACAATGGAATCGGTGCGAAAACGGATGAAGTGCTGAGGCAAATCTTCTCTCTGAGAGATGATGTCATGGATTAGGCAAGAAGCTTCGTTGATGGCCGACGTGTATGTCATCCAAAGTACGAGTTTAGAACCATCCATCACGTCTACTGCTTCATAATCTTCTGCGCCTGCTCCAATTGTGCTTTCAGATCAACATCCCAAATCCATCTCATCCTGTGCATATAGTTTTCCTCGATTTTATCAAGGTCGTCTCCGAACAGCTCGAAATCGTACAACTTGCCAGCTTCGTAACTTGTTTTCACGATCTTCTGTGTCCTCTCCCGTCTGACCTGGTCGAACGCGCCAAAGGCTCGCTGCAACTCGTCAACGTTATTCGCGTCCTTGACTAGATTAGCGAGGATGTAAGAGTCCTCTATACACTGGCCAGCGCCAGCGCCTTGATGGGGTGTGGTCGCATGCGCTGCGTCTCCAAGTAGACAGACACGGCCTTTGGCATAGGTGTCGCAGGGTGGATGCTGGAAGAGCGCCCAAATATCTGGCTTCTGCATTGCCCCGACAATCTTTTGAACATGTGGACCCCACTCTTTAAAATCTGCCTCCATCTCCTCCTTCGATGTAGTCACAACCCATTTCTCATCGTCCCAGGTATCGCGAGAGTTAAATGCGACCACTACCACAGTTAGCAAATGTCCTCTCTAGACGATGACTGACCTTACCATTCATCGTCTTTCCATGCTCAATTGGAAACGTGAGCAAGTGGCCATGATAGCCAAGATACATCTGGCTGTTCCGTGCTACATCATCGCCCAACAGTTCGACGGCCTTGTCCATGGGTATCAGCCCTCTATAGGCATACTTTCCAGAAAAGACAGCCTTGGACGCGGGATTGTCTCTTCCAACTAACCACTTCCTCGTCAAGGACTTTATGCCGTCGCAGCCAATCACGGCGCTGTGCTGTGCTGTCGAGCCATCAGCGAACTTAAGCACGATATCTCCAGAGCCATCTTGAGCTTCATTCATCTCCACAAGCCTCTTGTCGAACTTGGCAACACCATCGGGTACGTCTTTGACAAGTTCGTCCAAGAAGTGTGCTCTGTATACACCGCCGCGCCCTCCGCTCGAATGCATGGGCACCTCAAAAAGTGCATCGCCGACTTTCTTGCCCTCTCTCACATATCCCTCCTTGTCCTCTCTCCTAGCGTCTCCCACCCGAATTGTGAACCAGGAATCCATCTTGGAGTTGTCTGCGTTCCCTGTCTTGCATTTCAAAAAAGCCTGGTATATCTTTGGGGACAGGAACTCCATCGCACGTCCAGCATTGGGACCGAATGCGACCCCAGCTCCGATTTCACCAAAGTGCGGTGCGGCTTCATAGATGGTGACAGGAACATCGAATTGGACGAGGGCTATTGTAAGGCAGAGGCCGGATATTCCACCGCCTACTATAGCGAGGGAGTAGGGCTTCGAAGACGAGCTTGTTGGAGCCATCTGGTTGAGCTTGAGACCGAGGGAGATGTCTTCAATGGTTGGTGTTAGCTACTGCGACTGCGATGGAAGAGCAAAACCATTGCCAGTCGCGGCTTTGCGTACTCACTTTGATCTTTACCGATATACACTTCGGTGGCGCGTGGGACGACAGCTCGCTAGACGTCATCTACTGCGTACTTATGCAGTGGTCCTGCAGTACCCAGAATAACACGACACCCGCATGTTAGTACGCAACGGCGTGTGCATCATTTGGACGAGTGCACTACCCGATACTGAGCATGCTGGACAAGAGCTCATCCGAGAAGAAAAGCGCCAGGCGGTATTGGACAACTCGCCGTGAAGTGGGGCATTTGTGTAAATGTGTGGGGTAGACGACTGTTCGGGAATGAAGTCGGCGGTTGAGGCATTGCGCATGTCACCAGGGACCTCCTCTATCAGGCGCTAAACCTAGCCGAGTGCCGAATTACATCCACGACCTGACCGCAATCCTTTTGGTAACGCAGGCAGTGATCATCGTGTGTCCTCGACTCATTTGACATATTTCCGTAGCTGTAAGTATTGCTGTTCCCATGGATGTGAGGTAGTTCAAAGACGTGTATTGTTGTTGAGCTCTATCATGTATACGTGACCTTTTCCCAGTCTCGTCATGCCGTCATCAGCTCGCTCTTTCGCAGCTGCATATCATCGTCACACGCAATACCGTTCTCAAAACCTTCACACGGGAATTTCGCTGCATGTGCTAACACTACGGTAGTCTCTTCTGTCGGGTTCATCTCGTTTCTTAATTCTATCATCTGTTAAGTCCGATTATCAATGCCGCCATCAAGCTATGCTGCTCTGCAGCCCCCAAACGAAGAGGGAGAGAAACCAGTAACCGTACTGGTCACTGGATTTGGTGTATGTCAATATTTCCCTCCAATTCCCTGTGTTTTCTCCAATGCTCTGTAATCCGGCCCACACCTCCTATTGTGCTTCTAACCAGGCACATTGGATGCAATCATTTGACAGACTAACATGTATCCAGCCATTTTTAGCGAAAGTACCCAAGAACTCTTCCTGGGATATCGCTTCCACACTTCCAGCTCTGATACCAAAGTCACCCAAAAACCAAACTCCGATCAACATACACGTTTACCATGAGCCTATCCGCGTAGCATATAACACTGTCGTCAATCTCGTTCCCCAGCTTCTTCCACCAGCCAATCCTCTCTATCCCTCCCCAGATATTGTGCTGCACATCGGTCTAGCAGCCGGACGAAACTACTTCGCCATCGAGCAAGGATCCCACAGTCATGGGTACGGGAAGATTCCGGACGTAGACGGCCAACGATTCGAAGACTCTGCAGCAGAGGAGCATTTCCCATCTTCAAAATACCCACACAAATTAAAGACTAGCTTCGATACATCTGACGTCCTTGCGCGCTGGAAAGCGAACTTGGGAAACACATCTGCCAACGGCACTAAAAACAATGAAGGATGCACTGACGTGCGCATCAGCACCGATGCCGGAAACTTCTTGTGCGGCTTCATCTACTACAACAGCTTGGCGCATTATTTTAATATCAAGGAGGATGAGAGACCCGTCATTTTCCTACATGTCCCTGATTTGAGCAATAGTGAGGATAAGCTAAAAGAAGGATGGGAAGCTACAGTCGCTTTGATCAAAGCGCTAGTCGAGAGTAGACAGAAGTCAGGCGGCAAGGTCGTCGATGGGGACAAGAAGGATGGAGAACTGGAGAATGGCAACAAGAAAGAGCGGACGGACAATAACTTTGTATAAACGGATCAGGCTCCAGCACAAAGACCAGAAAGGGGGGGAGGGGACAAACCAATCCTTCATCCTAGATTGGTTAGAACAGGACGCCCTTTTTGAGTCCCGCATAATCCTTAGACGTAAGCATAGGGGCTCTCTAATTGGTTGAATATCATATATACATCGCCGTTGAGCAAGTTGACACTCGCGACAGATACTCTACATAGACAGCCACTGTGAGTCACAGGAAAACGGGCGTTAATACTGATAAGCTAAGTCTTGGCCAACAAAAGGGTCAGTAGTACATGATGATGATGCAGAATTCATATATATGCTCATGCATCGATTGTGCTCTACACGCTTCATCCACCGTATACCAAACTAGATCATCACCCTCTGATTGCCCTCAATGTCTCCATCACCACATTCCCAGACAGCTACCCATATCCTTAGTCTCGCCAACTACACATCCCATCACCTCGTTCCACTCACCCCGAAGCCCTCCACTCCACTCCTACCCTCCTCTCTCCGCCTCCGTACCGTCATTATCAGTCTGACAACGAACAACCTCTCCTATGCACGCCTCGGCCATCTAATGGGCTGGTACTCTACGTATCCGCTCCCCACTACGACACCTGCTCCGTATGACGATTCTGCAAGGTACGGCCGCGTTGCAGCATGGGGCTATGCCGAGATTCTAGAAAGCACTGTCGAAGGCATTGAGAAAGGAATGAGCGTGTATGGCTATCTTCCCAGTAGCACAGAGTGGGAGGATATAACTGTAGAAAGGGCTAAAGACGCACGGGATGGTCGTGTGATCGACGACCAAGTTATTGTGACGGACGCACATAGACAGCATCTGTGGAAGATCTACAACCGGTATCGGATTTGTGGTCCGCTTCTTAAGATGGCTGATCAGACTGAGCAAAAAGACGAGTTGGGCTGGAGTGCGCTGATGATGGGTCTTTTCACAGTTGCGCATAACCTCTCCAATTATGTTTTCCCACCACAGAAAGTGGACGGAGGGGCGAGGGAACAGACGGGCCGGATACATCCCACAGGAAATGGGGAGTGGAGCGTCGAAGACGCGGACTTGAGAGATGCGGCGGTTGTTGTGCTAAATGCGAGTGGTAAGACGGCATCTTGTTTTGCGTATGTTCTTCGACACTGTCGACCCGCTGAGCACCAACCTGCTCGTATTATCGGCATTGGATCTAGAGCCTCCATTGAGGTCATCAAGAGAACTGGATGGTACGACAACGCATCTCTCTATGACAATTTCGACGAAACTGCCATAGAGATCAAAAGCTCGAATTCGAAACGCATCGTTTTCTTCGATTTTGGCGCCCGACCTGGAGCAAACGCGAAATGGCGATCCGCTCTTTCTTCACTCTCGCCCACTGTCCCTTTCACACTAGTGACAGTTGGTGGTGAGGTCGCACCTCAAGATCCAGAAAAGGCCACGCAACGGCTCGCTAACAGAGCTTCCTTGAACATTGTCAACGCGGGCTTGTTGCAAGAAAAGGGTATTGAGACTGCTGGAAGCATGTATTTTGATAATGTGTATGCTGCGTTTCAGGTGTTCTGGAGACGGGCCAGAGAGGTAGGAATGTTGGAGTTGAAGTGGGGTGAGGGGCTAGAGGACTGGGAACGAGGCTGGGAGATGCTATGTAGGGATGAGGTCAAAGCTGATGTGGGCCTGGTGTACAGTATTTAGGTGTTTCACCTACTGTTCTCGTATGGCTCTCTCGACCGCAAGGCGGGAAGAATCTAGCCAGGTCTTCCAGGATATGCGTAATGTTTCAGTGTAGGTGAAGACTTTAGCTGACAACGCATGTTGGGCATCTGTAAGCTGCATCGTTGATAAGATTTCCTGTAAACGATACCATCTTGTATGATGGGCTATCTGAGACCACTGGGCAGAGCAAAGTACTTCAGTCTCGGTCTTTCGCTAATGTTAGCATGAAACGTAATTGCAACAAAATCCATCCAACGGTCCAAGGTATCCACTCTAAAACGTGTGCTGAGAAGGGAATTGACGTCGACATGACGGGTGCCGCTCATCATCGCTTACCCCACAGGCCTTGCTGGGTCTCTCTAATCCTCCGCTCTTGCTCCTGTATCATCTCTTCGGTCTGACCGTGTCCGTTTCCTCTACTGTCAATCTCCATGGGGTCGTCTGGCTCGTCAGCTGGCTGGGGGATGTTGGCGTGAGGGGCACCTCTCCGTGGTTCAGCAGAACGCTGGCCGTCCATCATACCAGCGGCACCACCCGCTCTCAGCTGATTGATAGCACGAATCGTATCAATAGCTGCATGCAGGGTACGACGAGCGTTGAAGTTCTTCTTGACCGTGGGCAATAGATCCTCTTCACCATCAGCGTTATTCTTGCCAAGCTCCGTGATCCAAGGATGAGACAAGGCTTCATGGGCTGTCATGCGCGCTGCAGGGTCGACGGTCAAACAGCGACGAATGAACTCGCGTGCTGTAAGAGAAACACCCCTCCAATACTCCAAGGGTGTAAAGGAGTAGTCTGCGACTAAGATGGCCTGCATCTCTTCGAGGTTAGAGTCGCGGTCGAACGGAGTATAACCGCAGAGGAGGAAATATGTGATAACGCCGATAGCCCATATGTCACTAGTTCAGATGTTAGCACTGAATCACGAAATGGCGCAGTGTGCCTTACACCGGTTTGCCGTGTCCAGTTTTGCGGAAGATCTCAGGTGCCATGTAACCTGGCGTTCCGCATGTCGTTGTCAGGACGTGGAATTGCTCTTCATCCATAATTCGAGACAGCCCAAAGTCGGCAATCAGCAGATCGGCATTGTCTTCTGGTGTTCGGAACAGGAGGTTCTCAGGCTTCAAGTCTCGATGTACGATGCCGTGGTCGTGAAGGTATGCGACAGCAGAAAGCGTGGCACGGATAAGATCACCAGCGTCAGATTCGTAATAGTTGCCCTTTCGGCAGATGCGGTCGAAAAGCTCGCCTCCAAGCGCAAGGTCGGTGACAAGGTAAACTAGAGAGATGCATGTCAGCGAAAAGTTTGGCCAAAGCAAGGCTTCAACGTACGGTTGTTCATAGTTTCGAAGTAATCAACGAGTGTCAGAATGTTTCTGTGACCCATAGATACTCTCTTAAGCACGGCAATCTCATTTCTGACCTGGCACTTGTAAGCCTTATCGTCCTTCATCGCTTAGTACCAAGCTGACCATGTGTTCTCGGCCTGCCATGAGCCGCTTGTTGATGACCTTGGCGGCATAGTATCTTCCTGTATCAATGTGTACACACTCCTTCACTACAGAGTAGCTGCCTGCGCCTAAAGTTTTGCCAGTTTTGTATCTGCAAGGCTGCACTTGCGCTGCCGTCTGTGTACCCTGCGCTCCAGAAGCGCCGTTCGAAGTCCTTGTCGCCATTATTAAGCTCAAGTAGGGTTCCAGAGAACCGTCGTGACCGGAAGTGTTGTAGCAGGAGTGTCTTATGGTGGTTGCGATTACAAGAGTCTTGGGAGGGCGCAGTCGGGCACCGATGCCTAAGGCTGGCTATCGGAGATCACAGAACCGACAGATGAGCTTGTCGACGCAACACGATGTGGGCTTATGACAACTTGTGTCACAGATTGAGTATCGCGGAGCAGTAGCGAAAGTTTGTGGAGACTCGGGAGTATTGCGACGGCTCCTGATCGACGGCGATAGTGGGTTCGTGGAGCTGCTTGGTGGCACGTGGTGAGATGATATTGGTGCCGGCCGAGATTGACGCCGGTATTCCTGCTGAAGGCAAGAAGGAATCGTGTCTCAAACACTATGGATATAGTAGACGAAGCTACGGGAGGAAGGAAAAGAAGGTTGTCGGGACTTGAAGTGCGTAAGGAGGGGTCCACACGATTCCCCGCCGGTGACTTTACCCCTGTTGTTGCCAAGATTGCCCGTGTTAGAATAGTGGGATGGTAGCCGCTCAGCCGGGATTAAGGATCCCAGTATCAATCCATGGAGCGCAACATGTATAGCCAGTCGTATGCAAGCGACACCTGAACTAACAAACTCCCGAGAGCAAAGGCTATGCACGTCATTGCATTGCTTTTTTATTCATTTCCGTCTATGTGAGTTTCTATAGGTCATAGCTCTTCTCGTCTAGATCTGTACGGACCTAAGCAAAGAACGTCAGGACGATGCATCCAAAAACTGTCGTCTCTGGTCTATATCGCAAATGGAACTCTACGACTTGACGAGCAAGCTGTGGCCATCCATGTCTTCAGGCTGCTGAAGACCCATGGTTGCAAGAAGAGTAGGCGCAACATCACCGAGTACGCCGTCAGACTTCTTCAGGCTCCAACCTTCGGGCGCGTTGGCCATGACAAAAGGCACCTTATTAGTCGTGTGGGAAGTCTTGGGAGTGCCCTCCTCTGTGAGCATCTCCTCGGCGTTACTAGCACAATGTCAGCCCTACCCCAAAAGATGCAGATGATGGGAACTTACCCGTGGTCAGCGGTGACGAACAGAACGTATCCACTCTCTTTGCACTGGTCGTAGACCTTCTTGATAGCCTTGTCGGTCTCTGTGCATGCTTCAATGGCTGCCTTGTAAACACCAGTGTGGCCAACCATGTCTGGTGGCGCAAAGTTGTTCATGAGGAACTCGAACTTGCCGGTCTGAATGCGCTCGCACAGCTTCTCTGCAACAGCCATAGCGCTCATCTTTGGCTCGAGGTCGTAAGTAGCTACCTTTGGCGAAGGAACCATCTCACGCTCCTCATTCTCGAACTGCTTCTCGACACCGCCGTTGAAGAAGAAGGTGACATGGGCATACTTTTCAGTCTCAGCAACGTGACACTGCTTGACGCCCTGCTTTCCTAGTGTCTCGGCAAGAACATCTGTCATGCGCTGAGGCTCGAAAGCAACGTTGAAGGTGTATTTAGGGTTGTACGAAGTCATGGTGGTGAGGTGAATGTTTTGCGGGTATGGGAAGTCGGGCTTGGGCGAACGGTCGACATCGCCCAAGAGCTGAGTGATTTCTCGAACACGGTCGGAACGGTAGTTGAAGAAGAAGACGGTGTCGTTGTCTGGACGAATCAGCAAGTAGACATGCAGGTGCTCAGCATGTTAGTGTACCTTGTATCCTTCGCTCCTTTCCTCCCACAATGATGGGCTTGAGGAACTCGTCGTTCTCGTCTTTTGCGTATCGCTCCTTGATGGTTGCGACTGGGTCACTGCTCTCCTCACCCTCTCCAGTGACTAGACCCTTCATACCAAGCTCGACACGGTCCCACCTCTTGTCGCGGTCCATGATGTAGTATCGTCCGACGACTGTCGCGATATCGCCGAGGCCGATTTCCTTGGTAGCTTTCAGCAAAGTCTCCATGTATCCAACCGCGGACTTGGGGTCGGTGTCTCGGCCGTCTCCGAAGAAGTGGATGTAAGCCTCCTTGACGCCCTGGTCCTTCGCAACCTTGAGGAGCGCAATCAAATGGTCCATGTGGGAGTGGACACCGCCGTCGGAAACCAGACCGCAGAAGTGCAGCCTTCCGTTACCATCAATGGCACGCTGGAATGACTTCTTGACATTGTCCACGTCCTTCAACTTTCCATTCTTGATGGTTTGTCCAATTCGGACGGAATCTTGCCATACGACGCGTCCTGCACCGATGTTCAAGTGGCCGACTTCGCTGTTGCCCATCAGGCCTTCGGGAAGTCCGACGGCGAGAGAGGAGGCTTCCAGTTCGGTGTAGCCCTGTGCGGTTTTGGAGCCGTCCTTGGCGAACTCGTCCATAGTAGGCGTGTCGGCTGCGAGGATAGCATCGCCATCTTTGCGCGACTTCTCCGTCGCGACGCCCCAGCCGTCGATAACGATGAGGACCGTCTTCTGGTCGACCTTGGCCATGATTGCGAGTCGGTCAGGTGATTTTAGGAATAAGAAGGAAGAAGAAAAAAACTCGAGGATTCACTCGAGCAGCGAGGTTTAGAAGGCTAGTGAGAAGAGCGTAGGGAGCAACTTGTTGACAGAGGGGCAGGGTTGGCGGGGCTAAAATGGTCAACTTCAAAAAAGCATCGCCGGTTCACGTCACAACCTTCCCGCGACTGATCCACATTCCCCCCACAGCCCACGCCCAGAAACTTATCTCGAATCGCACCCAACAGCCGCGCTATTTGGCGATCGCTTTGACATCCAACAACTCCTATCAGACAGACATAGCGATTGTCATCTGCAGAATCGCCGTCCAATCAGCAACCTTGGCTTCAGCCCTACCCGTCAAAGGAGCGGGGAGCGTCGTCCCGTCCACGCGTGCTGGCTGGCCGACGCAAACACGACGCTAAACATCTTGAATCGGAACTCGTTGTAATCCACAACCATGTCGGCAGCCGCGACGCCATATGCGCCTGCCTCAGCGCGAGCCTCAGTTGCACCCACAGGCTCTCAAACGCCAGCCCTGCCTGCGCCGCCGCCGCCTCCTACCACGAACACCCCGACCCTCCCTGCGCCCTCGACGTTTGACATGCTCCCTGACCTCCACAGGCTGCTCAAGCGCATTCTCGAGACGCCTGCCCAGCCGCCACCTGCGACGCCAACGCCTGCCCAGCTTGCCGTAGAGGGGCCCCTCGAGATCCAACACGTCGCGACAGCAGCGAATGACATCCGCCTCAAGATACAAAAGGCACGACGCGCCGTCACAGCCTTGCCGGACATGGATCGCACATGTGAAGACCAAGAAGATGAGATCGAGGACCTGGAAGCGCGTATTGCGCGGCTGAAGGCTTCTCTTAACGAGCTCGGTCGGCCGGTCGCTCAAGCAGAGGATGCAGACGGAGACCAGAGTATGACTGGCTGAGACGCCGTCCGCACTACGATTGATCCATTCTAGGACGCACATCTGTCGACTGCATGGACGCACTCGACCTAGCTCTCGCCCAGGGCTAATGGCAGCTCGTCATCGTACGCGACTTGTCCACGCCTAGTTGAACAAGCACTGATCTCGTACACAGAAGGCGAGGCCCAAGGACCAAGTGTTGACACTCCAAACATGCGCATTGCATCGTATTGTACGCATAGCTACTAGCACGTCACATAACCCAGGTAGTCCTCTGAGCCTCACATGACCACGCGATCACGCGTCGAGCGCGTACGGCTAAGAACACGCTTTGCTCCTTAGCCTGGAATGCACATGTAGAAATAGTTGGGATGGATGAAGGGCGAGGAATACGGACGAGTCATCTTAGGTGCAAAGTAGATACGTTATGGGAGATCGTTATCATTCTGAGGTGATATTACCGGATATCTACTTCATCTAGAAGCAAAGGCCCTCATGAGCTTGGGTATACTATAGAAGGAATTTTACCGTTCAACGATATATTCCTGGTCGTCTCTCATCTCTAGGCACGGAAGGCACGGCGTCCAATGCCAAGCTTGCTCAAGTCGAGGCCTGCGATTCCACCAGCCTTCTGTTGGCCAGCACCAGCAGCGGCTCCAGCAGCTCCAGCTCCAGCTCCGGCTCCAGCTCCGGCACCACCACCAAGGAGGCTGCTGAGAAGACCTTCGATGCCACCAGCTGCACTAGCTCCACCGGCTCCACCCTGCTGTCCGCCGGCCTGAAGAGCTGCTTCAGCCTCCTGGAGAAGCTGTGCGATACCGTTGTTGCCGTTGTTGCCGTTGTTCTTGCCCTTGCCCTTGCCCTTACCATCTCCCTTTCCCTTACCCTTGCCTTTGCCGTTGTTGTTGTTGTTGTTGTTGCCATTGTTCGCGTTGCCAGTGCCGTTGGCTGCGGCTCCAGCGTCAACTACTCCGGTCGCATCTAGGGTAGTTAGCATATGGGACTGGTCATGGCGGTATGTGTCACTTACTTCCAGCTTGAGCAGCTTGGTCGGCGGCAGCTTGGTCGGCGGCAGCTTGGTCAGCGGCAGCTTGGCCCTTGCCCTTGCCCTTGCCCTTCGCAGCATCCTGTTGCATCTGCGCCTGGTCTGCCTCCAACTGAGCCTGATCCTTTTCCTTTTGCTTCTGGTCGGCTTTCTGTTGGGCAGCCTCCTGCTCAGCGGCAGCTTGCTCTAGCTCTTGCTGCTGCTGCTTTGCCTGGTCTTGCTGAGCTGCCTGATCGGCTCCCATCGCACCCTCTTGTTGCTGGGCAGCCTGCTGGTCGGCCGCGGCTTGATCTGCTCCCATAGCACCCTTTTGCTCCTGGGCGGCTTGCTGATCAGCTGCGGCTTGGTCCATTGCATCTTGTTGCTGTTTTCCATTCTGGTTTTGCTTAGCATCCTGAGCAGCCTGTCGTGGTTAGTATGTCATCTTGGTTCGTCATATGATTTTCAAAACATACCTTTTGGTCAGCCGCTGCTTGATCGGCTGCAGCACCGTCCTGTGCCTGGTCTTTACCCCCAGCCGCGGCATCCTGCTGTGCCTGTTGATCAGCCGCCGCTTGATCCGCTGCCTGTTGATCATGGGCGTTCTGTGCTTGGTCTTGGTTCATGCCTCCGGCAGCCTCTTGTTGAGCAGCGTCTTGTTTTGCCTGCTGATCGGCGGCAGCTTGGTCTGCTGCCTGTTGGTCATGGGCATTCTGTGCTTGGTCTTGGTTCATGCCTCCGGCAGCCTCCTGTTGAGCAGCGTCTTGTTTTGCCTGCTGATCGGCGGCAGCTTGGTCTGCTGCTCCCATCTGCTCAGTTGCATTCTGCGCTTGGCCCTGGTTCATCATCCCAGCGGCCGCAGCATCCTGCTGTGCCTGAGCATCGGCGGCAGCTTGTTGCTCCTTAGCTAATGAGAATCAGTAAACTGTGTGGATAGGAAAGCCGTGAATCATACCTGCTGCAGCTTCTTGGGCAGCCTGCTTTTCGGCGTTCTTCCCCTTGCCCTTGCCCTTGCCCTGAGCGGCATCTTCAGCAGCGGCAGCATCCTGTGCCGCCTGATCCTGAGCGTCGTTGTTACCGGCAGCCGCAGCGCCCTCAGCGTTGGCTACCTCAGCATCCGCATTACCATTATCCTTGCCCATGCCGCCGCGTGCAGCCAAGAGCGCACCACGGAGCTTGAGGGCTCTCTCTCCAAACTTCTGTACAACGTCTTCCTCTCGGCGGCCGAAGTTCGTAGAAGGAATGACTACGTTCTCGGTACCAGCCGCGACTACAGGTCCCTGGCCCACAAAAGGTGCTGGGGCTGCTGCCACGAACGAGGCTGAAAGAAGGGTGAGAATGGAGATAGAAGTCTTCATAGTGACGGTGGGGATTTGATTTGGAAGGATTGAAACGAGGTGTGTCGAAACTTAAAAATGAGCACAGCTCTTGAGAATTGAAATAAACAGATGGTGCTCTGCACAAAGGAATGATTTGGAAGATTGAAGCTGAGCGTGCCGTTCTATCCGCCTGAGGAGACTGGTTTATATAAGAGCATTGCCTTATATGAGCTCACGAGTGCCTGAGGGAGGTAGTGCCTAGAATAGCTCAGGTCACGATTGTCGGGATGACCGTTCGTTGCCTGCCGTGCATATCATACATGCGCCGTTGGAGGATGCCTTGGAAAGACCAGGCTCAAAGGAAGAACATCGGCCATCCCCACAATTCTCTCACAGGCACGAAAGCCTCGTCTCGCATGACAGCTGTAGATCAAGTTTGACATGCGATCGGGTCCGTAGCTTGGCTGGAAACGGTCGAATCAAACGCATGAAGGAGAGAGTACAATTACGGAAGAGAGAGCTGATGCAAGCCCCATGCCAGCATAGTCGTCGTAATAGCGAAGATCCAGGCTGGGGGTCGAACGTGTGTGGTTTGAGAACATGTTGCAGATGGAGCAGGGGCGATATATGCGGAGAGATATCTCCCTAAACGCATAAGTTTGGTATATGACTGAGGTTCGCATGCATAACATGGGCCTGAATCTCTGCCGGTTTCAGGCACACCGACGCGCCCACTGGAAATTCCGAGCGAACTGCTGGACATGCAAAGATGCAAAAACGTGCCCTTCCCGCTTCTAAGGGGGTTCCAGGCTCAATTCAACCTGAAAGAGCTTTGCGTCTCTGCTATACAATACTTGGTGTCGCGTGAGTGCCTTGCTGCTGCTGTGGACTAATCACCGCTTCGTTGCCGGAACATGTACCGGAGGATCAACCCATGATAGGACGCGTAAATTCGTCAACATAGAGATGTTGCTTCTAGAAGGTTTTGATGATGAAGATGTTCGGATGCGGTGACTTTGACATGTGCGGAGAGAAGGATGAGGAAGGTTTGGCCAATGACGTGCTCGGTATTGCAATCCCGCACTTAGCCTTGTAGCCTCGGCTGCAACTTTTAGACATCGTCATATCAAGGTTTAGCATTGGCGACGAGCGTACATGTTGAATGCCGCAATTCTGTCGCATTCCTCATCATTGAGCACTATCAGTTCTGGCCTGTAGTGCGCCGCCGGTCGGTCTTGTAGGAAGCGCAAAAATCTGTCAAGTCGTTCACTTTCGCATTCAATTCTATTTGTTTGCCTCCACAGCAAGTCCTACACCATGGCCACCAGATCAGTCCCCGCATCCGTAACGCGGCAGTTGCTTGCAACCTCCCGATCCGCGCGTATATCGTCAAGGCCCCTCGCGTGCGCACCATTACCGAGACGGAATGTATCCGGCCTGTACCGTCCTGCAGCCCGAATTGCTGGTCAAAGAAGAGGCCTTTCCACGACGCCACGCACACGACTCGCCGCTGTGGACGACACATTCGATCCAAAGTCAATAGAACGCGAATCTGACGAAGTGGATGTGCTCATTGTAGGCGGAGGTCCTGCTGGTCTGTCTGCAGCCATCAAGCTGAAGCAGCTTGCGACAGCGGCGGGCAATGAAGACTTTAGGGTTCTGGTGTTGGAGAAGGCGGGCGAATTGGGCGATCACATCGTGTCTGGAAATGTCATAGAACCGTCTGCGCTCGACGAACTCCTGCCCGACTGGAGGTCAGAGGACAACCTGAACCGCTTCGCCGACATCACCCCCGCCAAGGGGGACCACATGTACTTCATGACCAAGAACAGCGCAATCCCTCTACCCAAGCCTCCGCAGATGAACAATCATGGCAACTACATAATAAGCTTGAACCAGATGGTCAAGTGGCTTGGCGAGCGTGCCGAGGAAGTTGGTGTAGAGGTTTACCCTGGATTCGCTGCGTCGGAGATACTATACAACCATGAAGGCGTCGTACAGGGTGTGGCTACCAACGATCTCGGTATATCGCGAGAAGGCAAGGCCAAAGACTCATTCGAACGAGGAATGGAATTTCATGCACGCGTCACACTGCTTGGTGAGGGTTGCCATGGTAGTCTGTCCAAGCAAATCATCAAGAAGTACGACCTAAGGCGGGATAGTCAACACCAAACCTACGGACTTGGCATCAAAGAAGTATGGGAGGTACAGCCTGAGAAATTCAAGTCTGGGTTAGTGGTTCACTCCATGGGCTACCCACTGCCGAAAGACACCTACGGTGGTGGTTGGATGTACCACTTTGGTGACAACCTGGTCAGCATTGGTCTGGTTGTTGGACTTGACTACCCCAACCCGTGGTTGGCGCCCTATGGCGAATTTCAGAAGATGAAGCATCACCCGTATTACAAGGATGTATTAGAGGGTGGCAAGTGCATCTCTTATGGTGCGAGGACGCTGATTGAAGGCGGTTTCCAGTCCATACCTAAGCTCGCCTTCCCCGGTGGCGCGCTTCTTGGAGATGCCGCGGGCTTGCTTAATCTACCGAAGATCAAGGGTACGCATAACGCCATGAGGTCAGGCATGCTGGCTGCCGAGGCGACTTGGGATGCCCTACAAGCCAATACCGACGGTGGTACCGTGTTCCTGTATGACTATGAGGACAAGATGCGCAAGTCGTCGATATGGTCAGAGCTCAAGACTGTGCGCAACATGCGTCCATCTTTCCATACTCCACTAGGCATATACGGAGGCATTATGTATTCTGGCCTTGAAGCATATGTTCTTCGAGGCAAAGCGCCATGGACGTTAAAGCACGGCAAACCCGATCACGCAGCAACCAAGACTGCAGACGAGTGCCCGAAGATTGAGTATCCCAAGCCAGACGGTAAAATCAGCTTCGACATATTGACAAGCGTAAGCCGAAGTGGCACAAACCATGAAGAGGACCAGCCATGCCATCTTCAAGTCAAAGACTACGATGCACATGCTCAGAAGGAATGGCCCAAGTACAAGGGTGTCGAAAACAGGTTCTGCCCCGCCGGCGTCTATGAATACGTTGAGGATGATAGCAAAGAGCTGGGTGTCAGGTTCCAAATCAACGCCCAAAAGTAAGTTTAGTCGACCGGATCGCTGGAAAGCCTGCTGACAACATACAGCTGCGTTCACTGCAAGACTTGCGATATCAAAGTGCCCGATCAGGACATCAATTGGCAAACACCACAAGGCGGCGAGGGACCAAAGTACGTACTTACTTAATGTAGACGCCGGGATAGAGACCATGGCCCAAGCCGTGGTCCACGCGATCAGCAAATATGTACATTAGGAAGGATCGCATGTATACATACTACATATTGGCATCAGCCCTAGACTTGTTGCTGCCCAAGTGAACCTCGGATGTTTGTAGGGCTTGGACAGAGAGATTGATCCCCTTGTTCGGAAACCGATCAATACCTGGATAAACTCAAGCGTGTGCTAACCCAACGAACAAATGACAATTCATCCGTCTGGAATAGTTACACTTCACTGGTAGCCCTGGGAGGGCGAGCGGCCTCGTTGGAGGCAAGACGCACGTGATGTCCGTGCCCGAAGCTTGGAAGGCTAGGGCGAGTGAGGCGTTGGGCGAACTTCCTTCTCCACCCTTCGTCACCGTCCACCCATCAACTTCGCCGGGGCCTATTACATCAATAGCATTCCGGCCCTCATCTATATTTGCAATCCGTTGTCGCGACACTGGGCCGACTAATTCTCCGCCCAAGAATCGATTGCGCGACTTCTGCACTTACCCGGCTCCTTCCTGGTCCTCAAGCTCTCAGGTTCTTCACGGCCACCCTGCTTCCAGCGCCCGACTCTATCTCCAAGGTACGACTAGCCGCCTATATTGTATGCACCGGAAATCCTTTGCGCGTCTCCCTGGTTCCTGTAGTTTCGCACGTCGCTGGACACTGGCTTCCTGGCGTCGCGTCTTTGATACCGAGGCAATCCGTCTTTGGCACGCACCATGCGCGCTCCCTCGATGGCTTCCCGCTTGCTCATGGACATTTGCTCACGATTCTCTTCAGACTAGGTTATCTTTAGGATAAAGCTCTACCGCAACAGCCGTCACTATGACCGAGGTATCGTCTACGCGCCTATACCTAGGCAACCTTCCTCGCAATGCCACCAAGGCAGATGTCGAGGGCCACTTCCAGACGCATGGCACTGGTGAGATCACTGAGATCAAGCTCATGAACGGATTTGGCTTCATCGAGTACAAGGACGCAATGGACGCTCGTGATGTTGTCCCTGGTAAGCTTCAGCCACGCGCCAATCCATTGAACGCACGCTAATCTGTATACAGCATTCCGTACGTAACTTCTCGTGTATAGAAATCCGAACATACGCCCTAACTGACTCAAGATGGTTCCGACTTCATGGGCGAGCGCCTCATCGTCCAGTTCGCTCGCGGCTCGCGTGCCCGTAACGAGAACTTCACTCCCCACGAGCGCGTTCCCCCGCGTCCTAGGCGCACACCATACCGGATGAGAATAGCGAATCTTCCTGTGGAGACCAGCTGGCAGGTCAGACTCCCCGATCCTTGGATTCCTTCAGTTCCCTGTTAGCGCCAGTATACCGTTCCTGGACCAGTAATGGCTTTGTTCTCGCTTGCTTCCCGTTCTACGTTCTGGATTTGGGCCTCGCTTAACTTCGAATATATAGGACCTCAAAGACTTTGCCCGCCAGTCTGGATTGGACGTCGTCTACTCTGAAGTTGGCCGCGAGCGTGATGGCACTGGGTACGTGGGTAACACTGCAGCAAGTAACACGTACTGATCCACTGTAGATTCGTCGAGTATGAGACGGCCGCCGACCTGAAGACCGCAGTGGAGAAGCTGGACCGTCGTGAGTTCAAGGGGCAGGAAGTTACCTGTGTCCAGGACGTCTCCGATCCTCCCCCACCTCCACCTTTCAAACCGCGCGCTCCTTACGGAGGCCCTGGTGGTCCTGATGACCGGGGCCGTGATAGATACCGATCCCGCTCTCCCATGGGCCGCCGCGGTGGCGGATACCCACCTGCGCCCTACGATGATTACTACGACCGTCGCGGGCCACCTCGTGGCTACAGCCCTCGTCGCGATGACTATCGCCGACGCACACCTCCCCGCGAGTTCTACGACAGGCGTGATGGAGGTTATGGACGTTCGCCGCCTCGTGGTCGCATGCCTGATGAGTATGGCCCACCGCGCGCGCGTTACCCTGACGATCCTTATGATGCTAGGGCCCGACCACCTCCCCGCGGTTACGATGACCCATACATGAACGGTCATGGACGCCCTTACGAAGGAGGACGACCGCCGTCCCCACGTGGTGCCCGTCCCCGTAGCCCCGGAGGCCGTCCGCCTTACGACGCTGCGGCGGCTGATTACCCACCACGTGGCCGCTACTAGACAGACGACAGAAGTAAGTTTAAGTCTATGCGTACTCTGTTAAGAGCACTTGCTGACAGTAGCTAGGTAGGCGTTCTTACTCCTGAAGACTACTCACCTCTCAGAATATCTACCCTTGAGACCTTTCTACCCGTGGATATGTTTTATGCGATGACGGAGCTGAAAGACAAACGGAGGATCAATTGTGCTGCATGAACCCAATGAGACTGCTTATGTGTTTCCTGTTTCCTGGTTTCTTGGATGTTCCATGTATCTGTTGTTTCAATGCGATTTTTTCTTGGTTCACCGGCTGTCATGAGAGGGCAATTCCCTTTATGCTAGCTTTCCTACTGTTATCAGCTGCACGAGGCAGCCTAATTTTCTGTAACATCAAAAAGTCCTTTCAGTACACGTGGACATATTCATCTGATTGTGTGCGGTTATGGATTATCATGTACTCTATATGTGGCTCTGCTTGCAGACTGGCCGCTATGAAGACGAATCAACGCATCCCGTACATGACTACTCTTCACCCAATATTGTTTTTCTGTCAACAGTCATAGACTCTGCTCTTCGAGTGCATTGTCGGCTTGCTTGCTTTGTCAAAACGACCTTCCTGGGTGGTTGCTTCAGCCTCGAAGAGAACCACTGATTATGCAAACTTGCTGTGTTGCAACCTAACACCTTGGTATTTTCATTGTGCTTAGGTAGGAATCCGTCCGTTTCGGTGATCGGGCCAACCCATGTTCCCGAGATTCTCTCAATATCACGTTATCCTTCCCACCATTCGCCGGTTGCATAGTTGGGCCATGGTAGGTAAAGAGCGCTACTTGCAGGTGATGTAAGCCGAACGTAATGACTCACAGTATTCTCTGCGTTTCGTCTCGAAATTACAACACTGTAGACCCTGTAGGCTGTGGTCCAGACTGAAGAATATCTCAGCGTACGATCAGGAGCAAAGTCTTGCTGCAGACACATCTGAAAGCCGCCCACAAACACTACAACTCTTCCTTCATCCCTGAATAATCGCAATATACTAGCACTACATTAGCCAAGACAAGAGCAATCCTGCCGACCAAACGGAATTTCACGGTCAGTCAGAGAGTCGGCACTGGAACCATGCGCCAAGAGAACATCGCGATGGACAGGGGAGTTGCGCAGCGAACTATGACACTAGATGTAATAACATTGTTGAGACAGGTAGCGATATAGCAGAGGTTTGCGAGGTTTGAAGATAGTCGGTATTGTGCTATGGGTTCTAGAAGATGGTACTAGAGATGTTGATGCGAGTCGCAACCGTAGCAATAATTGCCTTCAATGACAGGATTGTTAAGTTAAATTTTATGTTCTGGATTAAAAAAAAAAGATGAGAAATATAACGAATGTGCCATTTTCCAACAGAACCTTGCCGGTTATCAATGCAGAGTGTATTGAGGAATGCTCACCAACGTAATGCTGCACCTATACAAGGTTTTCCGTTGTATCGCCGATAACGCCCTCGCCACACCCAGATAGCCGGATGCCAAAACGATCGTGAAATCAAATAACCTTTCATAAGATATTCATGCATGTGACCTAAGAATCCCTACAAATGACGCTATACAATGTCAGAACCACAATATTTTGTATATCAAAGACCATGATTATGGTTCCAGTTCATATCTCAGTCGTAGAGACCATATCCCAGTCGTCGTCGCTGGCGTAGTCAGTGCCGCTGGCGGCCAGGATATCAAAAACAGGAGTAGGGACCATCTCAGGACTGGACATTGGCTCGTCGATTGTAGCCAGGGTGTGCGGTTTGGGTCGAGAGACTAACGTGAAACCCTGGTCTTCATCGGAGGAGTCACCGTTGGGTGTTGGTTGTGTGGCAGGCGGATCGAAGAAAGCAGGTGCTGGAAAGCTAGTAGCTATTCCAGGGAGCTTGAACGTAGAAGTGCTTTCGGAGTGGCCGGAGTGAGAATCTACGGACTGCAAACCGACGTTTGTTTCTGCAAAGGTGACTCGCCGCTCGACCTTGGGCCGACGCACAAAGGTTGTAATAACCGAATCGACCATGTTGTCCTGACCCACCTCTTCATGAGTCTTGGGTTGATTGGCAGTCCAGTGATCGCCACGCGGGTAGTTCGATTCGCGCAGAATGTCTACAGAATCGCCGCAAATCATCTCTTGTGGTAGGTCTCTTGAAGCAAGGACGGTCGGGCGAACGCAAGGCTGAGTCTGGAGGGTGTCAAGACACAACCGTATGATATCCTGTGCGCCTATTGAAGTTAGCCTGAATGTCCCCAATAGCTACAGCGAATCTTACATTCATCCTCGAAATTGCGCTCCATGTTCATGCGACAGAGGTCCTGACGAAAGTCTGGAACGTCGGCCGCAGTCTTGAGAAACTCGGCCTCTTCGCCGAGTCTGTGGGCCAGAAAAGTTGAGATGCAGTAGTTGAGGAGCGTGTCAACAAGAGCATGTTGTCGGCGGGCCTTCTGACTCGCGTAGTGTCGATACACGAAACGTATGGTTTCGAGTAAGTCTTGTGGAGGGGCAGGTAGAGAGCAGGCGAAATCAACCTGTAGCGAGATATTGCCATGCGCAAGTAGTTGTAGCTCGGCAACATCGAAGTCTTCGGCAATCTTGTACGTTTCGACGTGCGGAAGAAGCAGTATTGGCCCATACTCTGCTTGTGGAGGGAGATAGCTACCGGTGTAGCAGTAACGGAGAAGCGATATGACGGCATACTCGGACGGAGCCTCAAGGCTGGCTTGCAAGCGACTCTGGAAACCGTACTCGAATGCATGGTACAATAGAGGGCATTTGTCCAGAAACTTGAAAGGGCATATACGATCAGAGATCTCGCGAACCTTTCCGTTGGGAAGAACTACCTTCAACGTCGCATCGCTCTGACCTTGCTCGAGGTACGCGTCTAGGAAAGAGAGGTCGTCCATGTTGAGTGTGAACGGAAGGATATAAGAACGCGCACAAGGCTCGAGACCCAGCACTGACTTGGCATATACTATCGAGCTTTTCGATTTATCTGAGTCGACCAGATGAAGCAACGAGGCTGCTGGCAAGGCGCAGCAGTGAGGTCAGCCCCAGTTTGTCGGCGTAGGCAAGTCAGAATTCGTGCGATAATCCAGAGTGATGTCGAAGGGAATGTTCAAAGTCTGAAACCGTGTAATGAATAGAGAACTGCTGTCTGGGTGTCTGAGAAGACTCAAGACTCGAGATGATTAGGTCCAGGCAGCCGTCTGCATGCGCAGGGCCAAGCGCCTGTACTTTGGGAGGCCGCCGGTTAAGGGTCAACGGTCGATGTAATGAAGACGTAGCAGCACCAGATTTTGCTTGATCTGGATTTGGCTCAGTTGATCACGATGTGACTGGACAACAAGTGGTATGGCAACGGAGGGGCATGGAGCCTTGGGAGCTGTCTCCCTGGAGAGGTGGGCATGCTTGCCAGTATGCCGGAAATGCCTTACTGGCTTCGCAAAGCTAAAGCCGAGTTGCCACCCAATCAGAGTAACAACCATTGTACAGCCTCACATAAGGCTGAGATGTCAGCTGCATCTAATGTTGAGGGTTGATGTTCAGTGGTTGGTGTTGGATCGGTGATGGTGAGCCCGGTACCAAGCTGGGGAAAGCTTCAGCCACGACCCACTTCGGTCCACATCGCGGCGGCGGCGGCTTGATGACGGCCGATCTCTCCACCAGACGTAGACATCACCCATCTTTGTCGTTAGAATTTGGTGTCGTTGGTGGGCGACTATCGTCAATTCAATTGCAAGTATTCGGTGTATCTCCAGACCCTCTGTACCTCTCGCGCGGCCCTTATCCCCAGCTTCCTCTCTATCAGTGCACATATCCGCTACGCCCCGCCATGGGATTTCTCTCTATTCTACCTGCGGAATTGGCCGTGGTAGAAACCTGGATTACACGCATATTCGTGAGTAGAACAAAGCACTCTCGATTGGGCTTTGCCTTCTCACAGTATAATAGCTCTTTCTCGGCCTCGTAGCCATCGGCCCATGGGCAGCGCTGCTCGTCTACGACCTACTCCTATACTGCTGTCGCGCTGGCGCATACGAGATACCTCTCATTGGCGGACGCGCTCGCGGAAAAGCGAGACCTCGTGCCCCAAGCCTCACTGAGCGCCCGAGCGGTCACCGTCGGAAGTTTAGTATTGCCTCTCGAGGTATAGACCGGCCGGTGCTGAGTACAGGGGGCATGGAGGCTGACTCTCAGGATGCCCGGCATCGTCGTATAACGGAAGAGAAGACGGCGCATTCTTCGTGAGAGTATAATCAGAGACCAACGCACAATTGAACCTCGTTTGACGCGCTCCCGCTGGGTTGTTGTGAAAAAGAGCTGGATCTCTGGGCGTGTCTTTGGATACAGGTGATTCAAGAAAGGTTTCAGAATCTCAGATGCCCAGGCCCTGACATAGAATCTCACCCGCAGAATGGTAAACTTCAAGGTACAATCACCACAGTGCAAGTCGTTCAAGCACTAAAGGACCCGTTGCGCCCCTGTTACGACAGACTAAGATGCGTTGTAGATGTACGAGGATCTGTATGGCTACGCGAACGACTGCGTCATGGGGGCCCAATCCCGTCCGACTGCCTTGGAAACGGCATTGGGCGTCCCCGAAGACCAACACGCTGCTCACGTCAGCTCTTTGGTTTGCGAAATGGGGTTGCCCAGTCCCTTAGGCATGATCGCGCGTTCCATGCCGCTATCCCTCGCTTCCGGAACGATTGTTTAGGGGCGCATATTGCTACATGTTTCATGTGATGACAAGCACCAATCGCGTGAGACCATATTTCCAACGTCGCGCAAGCATCTGGACAGGCTATTGAATCCATCGAGTAGATGCGTGGTAAACTAAGTAAAGCTTAGCGCGGTCTGGGTCGCGCCTTCTGTCAATAAACCTTCAGTTCACACTTACCTCTCATCAACGTTACAACTACACCTCTACTTCACCATTCACACTAGAAGCTCATCTAATTCAACAACTCTAACACAACATCTATCAGTATCTGCTACTGATCATGGCCACTACCACCACTACTAAAACTACGATACCGAAAGCGACCAACGGCGCGGGTGTCAAGAAGGCTGCTCCCAAGGGCGGTCGCGTTGGCAAAAAGAACAATGCGAGGACTGCCATGGCCAAGATGCAAGCATACTGTAAGTCTGTAACGTTTGACGCGTTTTGACGCGTTATCCAAACGTGTTAGTCGAGTCGCAATAACACTGCACCCTGAGATGACGATATCTGCTAACAGAAAGTCACAGTTAAAGCTCACCGTGACGAGTACAAGGACCTTTCTTTCAAAGAGCAACAGCAAGAGCTCGGCAAGAAGGTATGTTACTCGACCGAGCTTAGGGCATTACTGTGCAAAGACGAGTAATTTGGTTAACGTTGAGCAGTGGAAAGCTTCACCAGAGAACCCCAAGAACAATGTCTAACCTCCCATGAGGTTGCTCACTGAATTTTATTTTCCTTAGTTGACTTCAGTTCACCTCTAGCAGTCATGTCTTTATGATGGGTCACTATGGGTTGGTGGCATGCGGGTGGAGTTCGGGATGATGGGCGGGAACAATCATGGCGCACAGGATTACAGTTACGATACGCTTTAAAGGTAATATGGAAAAAATCAACGCATCTCGTTATTACTCTATGTGCATCTATTGACTGCATTGTTCCTGCAGTTTTAGTGACGCAATATGTCTAGGCTAATTGCCGGACAGTCGTACAGAGCATGGTTCACAGCGTTAGCAGTTTCCAGAAGTCTACTCAGGTACACTACTGTACTAGTCGTTGGAACTGCTACACATTGTCGTGTGCCGTTGAAGGTTGTGGTTGCACAACTGCTTGTAAGCTCTTGGTAAGCTGGCGCTGGAAGCTGCCCCGCATCCCAGGTACCGAGAGCCCCTCCGACATCATCACCTCCACCTCTTGAACTCTCTGCCGGCGCCTGTAGCCCTGCGCTTTCCAGCTACTTGGCCTATGAGCTTTCTGGAATGGTCAGCGGCACTCTTTTAGGGTGGATCCGATGGAGGTCTCTCGCGTTAAGCTTCGCGGGTCCTTCCCATTTGTCAATGTTACGGCTAAGTGCGACTGAACTCTCCTTTGAATAGCTTCAAGAGCTTTGTTTTGTTCTACAATTTGAGCACATCAGTATCGCTCTTACTTTGTGCCTCGATTGCTCTTCGTGTCTCTATACGCCCCTACTACCTGGCCGTCCCGTTGCACGTAATGGCATCTTCCAAGAGCGCAGATGCCTCCACGGTTCCCGTCCTCAAGGACCTCACCATCGAAAACATCACCGAGAATGTACACCGAATAAATTCGCAATGCAGCGACCCGCGCCTCAAGTACGTCATGGAACGTCTGGTCTCGCACCTGCACGACTTCGCGCGCGAGACGCGATTGAGCTTCGATGAATGGATGGCAGGCATTCAATTTCTTACGCAAGTTGGGCAGATATGCACCGACGTGCGACAGGTATGCTCCTCATCTATTATCGCGTCTAGAAAATGAAAACTACTAATTTGTTGTAGGAATTCATTCTCCTTTCAGACATAGTCGGTCTCTCCCTCCTCGTCGACTCCATCGACCACCCGAAACCTCCCTCTTCAACTGAAGGCACAGTCCTTGGCCCCTTCCACACGCATGACGCGCCATCCGACTCAAACGGCACCTTAATCTCGGCCGATCCCGACGGTGAGGCACTACTCGTCCTCTGTACTGTCAAGACCACAACCGGCGAACCTGTGCCAGACGTCAAGGTAGATGTGTGGGAGACAGACTCCCATGGCAAATACGACGTGCAGTATGAGAATAGGGGCGATAAAGCAGACGGCCGTGCGGTCATAAGGAGTGACAAAGATGGTGTGTTTTGGTTCAAGGGTATTGTACCTGTGCCATACCCAATTCCTAATGACGGACCTGTCGGCAAATTGCTTGAGAAACTGGGAAGGCATTGTTGGAGACCGAGTCATATGCACTTCATGTTCGAGAAGGAGGGCTTCGATAACCTGGTTACGTGAGTTTTCTTGCTACCCTTTTTTATTATATCCGTGCTGATCGTTGTGCAGGGCATTATATGTCCGTGGTTCTGACTATGAGACATCTGATGCTGTCTTTGGCGTCAAGGAGTCTCTCATCGTCAGCTTAGGTACTGTGACAGCCGAGCAGGCCAAAAAGTATGATGCCAAAGAGGGGTCGAAGCTGCTCAAGTACGACTTCGTACTCGTTACAGACGAGGAGACAAAGCAGTTGCGACACGACGAAGCGGCCAAGGCGATGAAGATGTTAGGACGAGAAGGCATGATGATAATTAACGGACTACCTGTTCCAGAAGTCGACTAGCCTGTGAATCGGTATTGCACATTTAATATATACCAAGATATATTACCATTTGCATCGGTCTGTGAAATTGTTGAGTATCATAATCAAGGGGTAGTTGATTCAAGAACAAATAAAAACAGACTTGGACAAGCCCTGATGATTTGAGCCAGAGAAAATGTAGCTAGAAATAGTGGCACCAGCCACCTTATGCAAATGCCTTGAAAGAAAAGAAGAGAAAAGATTCATATCATACACCAACACGCATCCTCCTCTTAGCTGGTAACTCTCCTCACCCACAACGCACTCCCATTGGAGTTTGGATCATCCCTCTCCCTCTTCTTCCACGCGCGATGAAGTTTGAGCCCAATGTCATGCTCCTCGGCGCGAATCTCATCCAACTCTTCTTGAAACGCCTTCTTCCTCTCTTCCGCCACCCTGGCCTTTTTGAAGTCAGTGACTAGCGGGTTAGTCGGCGCAGCGTTGTTCAAGTCCTTTAGTAGGCGGTACACATTGTTACGACGGATACGCAGGTCTTCTTGTTGCGATTCCAGGTAGGCAATGTGGTCGATGGCGCTGAGAGCGCTAGGGGGGTGTGGCAGTGCCTTTTTGGACGAGTTGGAGAAGGTGGATGAGGCGTAAGGGGAAGTTGGGTTACGGGCATAGACTTTGGGCATGCTGGGCGCGTTGGCACTATCTGCTGATGGTACTGGGCGGCGGCGATTCAGGATTGACGAGGCGGCTGATATGGGTTCTGTCACGACGCGCTTCGCAATCGGTGGTGAGGGTGGTGGTGAGTGTTGGGCGGTCGTCGCGCTGTTGTAGGTAGTCCACGAAAATCGGCTGATGGGCGCTTGCTTGTCCTTGTCCGAAGGCGGGGTCGTGTTTCGTAAGCTGGGGTATAGCGTCTGTTCTACTGGTGTCACAGTGGCTGGTGACTGGTTCATCTGTGTGCGGGTGGTTGGAGTAATAGGGCTCGGATACGAAGTCGTAATCCCTAAGCCTTGAGGTGAGGTGGGAGTATTCTTTCCTACTTTGAGCGGGGCAATCGGCTTAATGCTGTCATTGTAGCGCATATCGTTGTCGCGCGGATCCTTGGGCGCCATTTCAGTTGTTACGTATTGAGTATCAGGCAGTTTGGTATCGAAGATGATGGCAGCTGCAAGCGCGTTTGACACCTCTTGGTCTGTGCTCGGTGAGACTGTCTTTCGTGGTATCTGTAATGGTTTATCTGCAGGTTGGTATTTCAGCGGAGGTGCGATCTCTGATCGTCCCGTAGCTCGGCTCCACGGCTCCACGGGCGGTGGTGAACGCTTCGACCCGAAGCGGCCAACACGCTCGCCGAAACTTGTGTTCTTTTTCTGAGGCCCACTGACTGAAACCTGATACCCCATAGGCTTGTCTGACGATGCCACGCCTTTCGCATAAGAGACTGGATCAACTGACGCGGCCTTTCCTGCACTATTGGGCTCGCCTGAATACTCGTCCCATTTCACTTTAGAATTCGGTGCAAGCTTGCCCTCCCAAAACTTCTGCTTTGTTCCTGGCTCTGCGTCGCCATTCCTAAGCACGGATGGCGCTCTGCGTAGAACAGGAATGTGGCTACCCGCGCGGGTGTTGTCTTCTAGTTTCTTGCGGTCTTCGTCCATGGGTGATACGTCGCGCATGGAGCGGAATCTTCGAGGTAGAAAAGAGGAGGAGTGCTGTTCTGGTTCAGGAGAGCTAGGAGGCGATATGTCGTCGTAAGCGGAGGGAGATGTGGCTGTGGGATTGTCGTTGTTGTAGCAGAGTGTGTCTTGTGAGTAAATAGACGAGGCTGTTGGTACTTCTGACGATCTATAGTGGGGAGGCTCGTGAGGAGCTGATAAACTGCCAGGCAATCAGCGGTGACGCAGGAAATGAGGGTTCGAGTACTTACTGGGACAGCGGAGGGAGCGCATAATTCTGGTGACTGCCATTTTGGAGGTCGGTCACTTTGGGATTGCGATTCAGTTGATCCTCGTCATAAGTGGTTTCAAGAAGTACGGGATTGCCTATTCGTGCATGCCTCTCCTTATCCTTATCCCGGACGGCACCCTGCAATCGTTTCCACATTATTAAGGATTCTGCATGAAACAAAGATTAGCCCGAATCGATAGAAGTACAAGTATACATGAGCATCACGAAGTAGGCAAAGCGACATTCTCAGCGGCTGAGGGCTACTTATTGCGACGGAGCCTCTCCTATTCCCAGCAGTCTTCAGAGTACATTGCATGATTGTTGAGTGCTTTTTGAAACCCGTCGACATCGCGAGACTTGGCAAGGTCCTAGATCTGGTGGAGGCAGCTGTCGGTGCGGGCGATAGGCGAGAAACATGGTCCGTCGATCAGAGAGGTGTGGGCGGCCAATACCATAGAATACACGTACAGCAAGGCAGATGGGGCGTGCGATGTCCTCCAATACTGTTGGCGAGTATGAGGAAGGCGAGAATACCGACTCTTGCTAGGCCATATACAATTCTTGTCTCGAGGAACACGATCTGGAGACGAGCACGAGAGGATGCCGATGGCCGATGTCGACAACGCAAGTACCAAGTGCAAAAGAGCTGGCGACAAGATAAGGAATATACGTACAGGATATTATGCGTAAAGCGGGTTTGTTGAAGACGTGGTTGTTTGTTGATAGTTGATGTTGACGCTCAGATTAAACAAAGAAACAGCATGTATGTAGGTTCAAGCCTCGGATCCTTCGTCACGGGCGGATGCGAAGGCGTAATTTTGGTAAATGAAGGAGGGCGATCAAGTCGACGTCGAGATGTAAATGGTGTCAGCTCACTCTAAGAAGACCAGCACAAGACGACCAAGTAGGAACTGCGCCTCGACCAAAGCGCCAGCGGCACGATATCGCACCGGTGCCGCAAGTCTTTGTCTTCAAGCAGCGGTTCGACGGCAGCGAATTGCTCTCTGACGATTGTTTGGATAGGCTCAAGGCGACAAGTGCAGCCTAGGCGAATCAGCGGGTCCCAAGGCGGCGGAAATGAATCGCTGTCGCGCGTTTCAGGGCCTTGTTTCAAAAGGTGAGGCGCAGGGATGGGATGGGTGGAGCGGCGCGAAGCTCGTGTTTGCGCGCAGGTAGGCGCGTGCTTGGGGTTTGTGAAGTGGAGGTGAAGATGTCGTCAAAGTATCTTAAGATTACATGGCGACTCTCCGGTGAAAGAGAGACTGGCCGGGTGGCTGCGCAAAGTGGCTATGTCTCACGCGCGCCTCAGCTGTGATAACATGTGCGATACCCCCTTTCACGGCCCGCTGGCAATCCGAATGAATCCATTGCTTGCACGACTGGATTTGGACGTCCGGAACATGTGCCATGCAGGTTCGTGATAGTTGGCGGCGGACGTCCGTTGTCTTTGGGCATGCATGTCTGATTAGTGCTGAGCATTTGGGGTTGCATCATGGCCTGCAACTAAGCTCCCCGCGCCGTTGAAACTCTACCATCCACCACGACAGCACCGTCGACTGTCACCCACGTAGCTTATCTACAACGTCGCGTTTCCACCATGGCGGATGGTTAGTTCTGCATTGTGCGCGTGCATCGGGTCAAGCTAATGGCAACAGCACTTCCTTCACCTCTTCCGGAGCCATCGGCAACCCACGCGTAAGCAGCAATACAAGCTACCCAGCAAGCACTCGACTCGACTCACAGAACCGCAGCGCCTCCGTCTTCACCCCGATAAACCTCATCCTCCTCTCCCTCTTCGGCCTTCTTGTCTATCTCCGGCTCAAACCAGCCGCCCCGCAAACCCTCCCACGCGCCCCGCCGCCAACCGTCTTCCGCACCTTCACCCCGCCCTCGCTCTTCCCCTACAATGGCTTGAACAACATGCCTGTCTATCTCGCGGTTCGTGGCCGTGTCTTTGACGTCACATCCGGCCGCAACTTCTATGGCCCGGGTGGCCCCTATGCAAACTTCGCTGGCCGCGATGCGTCGAGAGGCCTGGCCTGTGGTAGTTTTGATGAGGACATGCTGACCAAGGATCTGGACGGACCGCTCGACACTCTGGAGAATCTGGATGCTGAGCAGCTGGATGCCTTGAGGGGTTGGGAAGAGAGATTCGAGGAAAAGTACCTTGTTGTGGGCAAGTTGGTGCCTGTGGGCCATCCGGAAGCCGAGGACGCTAAAGCATAGACGTGCCAACAGCGAGGTTGCGTCGGATACACCATGCCTCGAACGAGGAAGCAGAAAGGCCCGACAGAGCCGAGGAACAAGTGCAAGAGCTGATGAGACTGGGACGACGATATCTACTACAAGTCTGTCCTGCGTTAGACAGCTGCAGACGTAGCATCGAGACAGGATATGATGTAAGTGTAAGCATTGAAGAAACTGCTCAAGACTGCGACATCATCGTGAAATGATAACATTGCATGGCTACGTTCCAGTGTCCCTGAGCTGCGGATTCAGGATTGTCTGCTGAGACAGTCAATCTCACAACTAGTCCATTTTCAAGCAAACGTGCAAGACTGCATCGTTATGATCTGCCCCGTTGCTAGTCCGCCATCTTAGCGTAACCGCTCCAATGCGGGGTTAGCTCTGATAGGCAACTAGATCCCACTTGTTTCAACAACTGATAGCATTGCCGTCGCGTTTGGAGCGTTTGAAGCGTTTACCACTTCATGTCTTCTTTCTTCCATGTCATGACGACTTGTCATTCCGACGTTCTGCGTGCGTGACGTATACATTGACATTGAACATAACTTATATACGGCTGGCCTGCGTGATACATCTGAACAATCATCCAAGTTACCATGGACGAATTTGACATGATCAACAGACCGCTGGCATGGACGCTCCTGTTACTAGGAGTAATCGCCTATGCCTACTCCAAAAGAGCTCACTTGCAGAATAACATCTGTGTATGTTCTTCTGCCCACTGATCTTCCACACCAGCACTCTGACGCAACTCCTAAACTAGCGATTACGACTTCCATTGTTGTCAACACCGGTCAAGCAGAAAGCCGAACACGTATGCTCGGAATCCGCATACGATGATATCACCCCTCTCTCAAACTTCAACCTGGACACGGAACAGCCCCTCAAGCTCCGCCCTTTCAAACCAAAATACCATATGACAATGGGTAAAGTCTTTACCACCACGTACCAAGAGCATGAGTATGCACTAACAGCGACACTGCAACAGCACTCGAAAATACTACCCTGAATGATCTAATTGCAATGGATAACACTTATCGTGAACGGTTACAAATCCGTTCGCGACTCATTGAAAAGGAACGTTACGAAGTCCTTGCATGTAACTCAGAAGCCGTCCCCGCCGTCCTAGAACTGTACGAATGGCTTACAAGAACATACCTGCCTCTTCGCTTTCCAAGTCTATACGCCATCACAGAGTCGGGAAAGCATCTGCGCAACCATGTCACAGATAGCCTGATTCCATTACACATGACTAACGGCGAAGAAGCTCTAGAAATCCTAGGCTCCAATATCGACACGGAGTTCTTACTACTCACCCCTTCCCCCTCCCCTCTCGCCTCCGAACCACTCGATGGTTCGTCGTTCGGTATCACTACGCAGACCAAATACTTGCTAACGGCCTTTATAAACTGCTTTCCGAGCGGATTCAACACACGTTCCAAGCTCAATCAACTTCTCGCTGCCATACATGCTCCTGTCCCCGGCTATGCCGCCAAGCTAGAAAAGAGCATGGATCGCTTCTTTGCCAACCTACCCATGGGCAAGATCGTCAAGCGGAGTAATTGGAGTATCAGTACAAATGGAGAGTTGTTCTGCTTGAAAGGGAACCACATGAGTGTGGAGGATTTGGCTCGGAAGCAAAAGAACGAGGTGGAGGAGGAAATTGATTTGGACAAGACCGTGGTGAGATGTGAGAGACAGACATTGCATCGTTTGCCAAAGACTGGGGCGCTAGTATTTACTTTCAAGGTAATTTTGGCTAGTTTGGAAGGCTTCAGATGGAGTTCCGTCTCACTTGACAGTCCGCTGACAACAGCTAGACGTATCAGTATCCATTGCGCGAATTGAGAGATGAAGGGAGCGGAGAGGTGCTTGCGGAGGCTATTGATGGTTTGGGCCTTGGCAGTGCACCCGGCATGACAATCTACAAGCGTCAAGTCACCTGGGGTGATAAAGTAAAGGCTTTTTTAAAGGGAGAGATTGATGCCTGAATTATAGCATGTTTGTATCGCAAGTTGATGACTCTGAATCGTTTGTGGTGCATGATCTTGAAGTCGTCTAAAACCTAAAATTGTACATGTGAAGACGTACTTCGATATTCCACACATCTGTTGCTAACTATGTCATATGGCTCAGTGAGCCGGACAATAAGTGCTTACTCTCCGATCCGATTAATACCGTGGCTGCATCCCAACAATTGTTGGCCTGGGAGCTAAAAGAGGACATACTTGGAAGCTGACTGTGGACAGCGTCGCAAGGCTGGCGCCAGATTCCACGCCAAAGAAGGCGCTCTCCACTCACTTCAAGAACCAGGTTCCTCTGCTGTTGTTTTCTACAGCTAACGTCCCTGATTCCACAAACCAGTTTGATGAATGCCTGTTAACCAGTTATGTTGATTTCCCATAATCAGGATCTCAAACGGATGCCCGGGCGCCTCCCTCGAAAACGGCCCCTCACTTCATACTGAAAGCAGAGAAGCAGAACAACGCCGAAAGTCAATAAAACTGCAACGCTAAAAATCCATTCTGCAGTGCTTACCGACGAACACCAGGCGTACCAACTGGGGTACTACGCTTCATCATGGGCGGCTTGACGACAGCAGATTTCGTGGTCGTGGCAGTCTTGGGCGCAGGATTCTTGTTAGCAAAGAACTTGTGTGCAAGAGCTTCCTTTGGTGATATGCGCTTCTCGACGTTCATGTGTAGGCTAGCACTCAACAAATCCGCTAGATCGTTTAACTCGCTGACAGTTGGTCCTCCACTAGATATGTTTCGGGCGGCGTCGTGGACTCTAGTCTTCATGTCGCGACTGATCCTTTTCTGCTGCTCGATCTTGCGAACAGAGAGCTGTGAAAAAATTAGCTCCATCTCTCAAATGTATAACGAAAGCGTACCTTGTTGTATTGGTCAATTTCACGGCTGATGAATTTCAGTGGGGGTCCCAGTTCAAAGTTCTCAAGAATGTTGTTGACGAGGCCTTTCTTGAGCAGTTTTTCGCTCGGCCATCCCAGGCAGTCCATGAAGGATTTGATCATCTGGTTGTTTGATCGTCCAGTGAAAAGAATTTTGCCAGTCCATAACTCATATACGGTGCAACCTACAGCCCACATGTCTACAGGATAGCCAACGTCCATACCGAGTATAATCTCAGGTGCGCGGTAGAACCGACTGACGAGGTACTCGGTGCGCTCGATAACGTCTCGTTTGTCGACCGCGGTACCAAAATCGGCAAGCTTTATGGTCTTCTTATCAGCAGAGACCAAGACATTGTCTGGCTTCAGATCGAGGTGAATGACCTGACAATTTTGCAAGTGTTGGAGACCAAGGAACATCTGACGCGCATAGATACGCACAGCTGGAAGCGTAAGACCGTGGCCGTTAGTTTCTTCCTTGAGTAAGTCCCGCAAGTTCTTCGACATGTGCTCAAACACAATACACAAATGACCCTTGTGGTCGAACGACCCCAGCAAGCGGATGATGTGGCGCTTGTCTTGTGGATCTGCCTCGTTGACTTTGCGCAAGAAGTCCATTTCCTTCTGACTGGCCCTTCTCATCAAGTCGTTCCTGCGGATCATCTTGATAGCGACAATTCTCGAATTCGTGTCGCCGTTGTCAGTGTTGATCTCCTCAGCTTGTGCGACGTTAGCGAAAACACCACGCCCAAGACCCTTGATCATGCGATAACGTCCACCATCCACCAGCTCGTTGCTGATTAGCTTGTAGTATCCTTCGGGGTCGTCCCAATTATCGAGCATCTTCTCGTCAAGTACAGTGCCTTTCGCAGCGACAACGTCCTCAGTCCCAACATCTTCCTCCTCGTCTTCGTCGTCAGAAGCGAACATGTCGAATTCCTTTTTTTGTTTTTTGACAGGCGCTACCTTCTCAGCTGGAAGGGTAGAAAGGTCTTTCGGATCGGTTTCGCGGTACGCATCCGAGGACACTTCTGAGCTCTGATTCTTCTTCGCCGCTCGATCACGGTCATCCAACATGTCCTGTAGGGGGTCATAGTCCGCTGCTGATGGACTCGCTGCGGCAGGACTGTTACCGGCACTGATCCCACCCTGCTTATCAATTATCATGACGTCTGGAGAGGCGGGTACAGAGTCGAGGTCGCCATTGCGAGGCGATGCGAACGGTGATATGGGGCTGTCTGCGTAGGCTGCTGGGGAAGCAACATTGGGCGTCGTCGCTTCGGACGCGTTAGTAAGGACAGCCTGCTGGAGAAGGTTTTCTTTCGACTTCTTTTGCTCAGCAGCTGCGCGTATAGCAGCCCATCGTCGACGCTTCTCTTCGCGTGATTCTTGGGTGGGGACTTTCTCTTCGACAGGAGCTGGGGTGTAATCAGTAGTATCGTCGACGGACGTCCTGTTGCAGAGTCAGCTCTTAGATGTGGTTGATTGGGAGCTGGTCCACTTACATCTCAACATCTTCGGCCACGCTTGCCTGCTTTGCTTGAGAATTGGAATCTTCGGACGGCGTCTGTCTGCTCTGTTGCTGCGTCTGGCGAGTCTTCTCACGCTGTTTGTCACTGTGGCGCGAGTTCTGAGGTCGCTTGTCGGTCGGCAGAGACTCTCGGAAGTCTGGGACAGGATTCGGGTTCTCGACCTCGGCGTATGATATAGGCTTTGCATGCGACCGATCTGGTACGTCCTTCTGTTCCTTCACAAAACTGGTCTGGTGAGGTCCTGGAGCTCGTCGAGAATCACCGTGTCTGCTATGATCAGCATGGTATCGCTTGTCAGGGCGACTGCGCGGCGGAGAGGCCTTGCGCTTGTAGCCCCTTGAATCATTCCCAGCTTGATCAGCTCGGCTTCGTCGGTAAGGCGATGGCGATCGGTCGACGGCGCGGCTTCTCCGATATGGCGACGGAGATCGTGACGGTGTGCGCTTGCGGCGGTATGGCGAAGGAGATCGACTCAAGGCGCGGTAGTTATCATAAGCACCATCCAGTCCAAAGGACCTGTTTGAGCCGTTAATCGCAGGTTCGTTGCGCGAGTTGACTGTGTTTGCCTTGTGTCGGGTATCCAAGACCTCGCCCTCTGATGCAGAGCTTGAGCGAGACTTTGTCATGTTGGCTCTTGTTGTGGTGCTGTGCGACGCTATCTTGCTTTAGAGAAGGGATCCTGGGCGTCAGCTTGCTTCTTGTTGATGACAAGATTGAGTGTCTCTATCACTGACTGTGTAGCAGAGAAGAAGAGACAGGCGCGATCACACCGATGTAGTTAGCAGGAACGCGCTGGTGATGAGGGAATTCGTCGTGGTCTTGTCGCGGTTGGCTTCGCGATACAGCGGGGAAAGTGCAAATGGTGTCAGAGCTTTTGTTATTACCTAAGCGTATCACGTGACCGTGCTGGGCGTATCCAATATCAAAACTTCGGCTACTTCCACACCAACATTCATGTGTTCCAACATCACTGGAGTAAATTAGGAAGGGCTTTCGAGCAGAAGCAACCCAAAGCCCATATGAGCTGCTTCGACGCTGCCTGCCAAGTCCCTACCTACCTACCTATTCCAATACGCAGCCATGGTCCTATGCTGAGCTGTATGCAGATACAGTAGCTGGACGGAACCGCTAGAATGCACGCGCACAGCGAGCTCCATGGAAGTTGGCCAGAGTTCTATCCCGCGCGGAGAACCGTTCATTCGATGTGACGAAGAGGTCGAATCAAACTTGCCTCATTGTGTGGACTCGAGACTGTTGCAAATCGTATGCATCCTGAGCCGGCATCTGATGGGAGACTCGCCGATTAAAAGAGCGCTTGTACCTCGCCGTCCGTTTTCTGCGACTTCCGTCGTGCAAGAGGCAAGAGCTGTTTGGTCGAACTCTTATGATTAATGCTGATATCCATAACCAGAGATCATGAATCTCTAGTCCGGATCTGCGCAGAAGAAACTGGTGCGTGTTGGGTTTATTGTGTCACGCCTCGGGCTCAACGGTACCTATTTGGGCCTGGAACTAATTGCATCGGCGACATCCCCCCGAAAGCACACCCATCCTCGCATCGATGTCTACCGAGGCTCTGCGACCCTCGATCGCATGTATGAGGCTAAGCACTTGGTTGTTTGCGCCTCCCTCCGTCTAGCTTCACGCACTCGAAGATCTTCCGCACCCAAGATTCGCGAGCCGATCCATGTAACAGTAACATGTCGGCTATGGGCCAGCGAGGCAGTGCAATGCTGAGGCATGTCAATCTTCGCATATCCGCGGAACTATGTCAAATATGATCACCGTCAACAGTTCAGATGCTTGCTACAGTTGCCTCATAACTGTCTAAGCGACTGGGCGCAACATGCCCCTTGGGTAGAGGCGCAGCAGAATACGAAGCACTTCCACCATTTGGGCGTATTGGTATCAAAAGCACAGTCCATGTTATGTTGCGGCGGTGAGCAATGGGCTCTGGAGCCAGTTGGCAAACTACGAAATCGTACTATTTCCCATTGAAACACGGGCCATACGTTTGGCAGTCATAGGAAACACATCGTACACTTGCTCCCCCGGAACTAGGAGATACATGTGGATGTTCGACGGTGTAGCGCGATAGGGAAGCTCAGGCAAAACAAACTTCGCACTACATCAAAGCGATGGATAAGACTCGTGCAATATGCAGGAGATAATATCTAGGAGAGCTTATTCTTCACAAGAGGCGGAACGGGTGCGTCGAATGAGACCCTATCCGAAGGGTGCCTCTTCTGGTGGCTTTGCTAGCCACGTTTTCAAGCATTCCTTTGTGCTAACGATCTATGTTTGTCACCGAAGATCTTCGGTGGTTGGATGACCCTGTGACTGAGCTAGACAAGCAGCCGAACCAATTATACTTGGCGGAGTCGATCCCGCAGCCGCTGACGTGCTGAGAGTACGAAACGGTAGGGACCCTGATATAGCGTGTGCCAGACTGCCGGGACAAGATAGAGAACCGACAGCAGGGGACTGTGAGAAAATCAGGTCTGGACCTCGATCTATATCCTCCGCACATTCGTCTTCTACGCCTCTTCGACGCTTGTAAACCAAGCTTTTCGGTTTTACGGCGCATACGCAGTCGTGTATCCCAAGTTGACGAACGATCCCTCGATACTATACGTCATCAATCGGGCAAAGTCGGCCGCACCAGAAGGGGGTACCATGGCACACTTAACAATGAAGTTTGTCTTGAACTCCTGATCTCCAATCTATGCCAAGGTGATTCTTCGGTTCCAAGCCTCTACGTCAATAGTGCATAGCAAGAGGTGAACGTCGGAGGCGCACAATCCTTGAAGACTGTAGCAAGTGAGATAACCGTGCAGCTTAGGACGTACGCCTCCATTCGCACATAAAATCAAACATTACCAAATCTTGAAGATCCTTGGCCAGGGTCTCATAGCAATCTAATCAGCGGTATGTCGTCGAATGGATAGCATTTTACCTCAATCTTAGTTATCCTCCTGAGACGTCTGAGATATCAAGGCGCGCGAGATCTAGCGCAGGTCCGTAAGTAGCAGCAAATTCTGCAGTTTTAGGGTGCCTATTCGCGTATTCGCGTATTCATAGCCCAAGGTTACAAACGGAATGTGGAGGAGCAAATCTCGGTGTGAAGGTCGGCTTCGCCAGGTTACATCCAAAATGGTAGGCGCATCCGTTTTCTTTTTTGGGGAGAGCAGAATATCTGCCCAGGCAGAATACGGCATTTGGACCCCAACCAAAACCACGTCGACGACAACGACGACCACGACCACCAAAACGCGTGAACATGAAATAAAAGCATCACAAATCTACATTGACCTAGTAACCTCAATTCCGGCTTCTGCTCTTCGAGGCGTGAAGCACGTGGTTGTACCTAGTACGGATGAATGCTCGGTGAGATGGCGTTACCTAGGTCATAGATGCGGTCGGAAGTCCAATCACACATGGCTAGAGCAATGTGCTAGAGAAGCGTTGGCGAAGACTTCCCCGTACCTGGGTCTTCTGGCCAGAAGCTAGACGAAAAGCCTCGTGTTCCGTCCTAGGGTACAAATGCCCTCTTGGGCCAAGTTTGGGCCGACTTCAAATAATTGCTTGATGACATTTGAGAAAGTGTCAGGAACAAGCTTGATGAAGGGGCACTACAATAGTATCAAGACAGACGGCGTCCTCTAAAGGTTGAAAAAGACAATGGTGTCGGTAGTTTCAGACTCGCCGCTATGTCACTATGTAGTCTGGTCAAGGTGTATTCGAGTATCCAGCCTTGGTAAAGTGAAGATCTCGGGTAGTGTTTTCTTGTGTAGATACTGAGTGGGGGCGCAGTCGAAGAAGCATATACCTGCCGAGTCGATCACCTCGCTCTACGAGAGTAATCTATCCGTTTCTGATACAACGTGGAAAGAATAAGCGCGTCGACATGACTTTCTCTACAATGCGCATGGCGTGGCTCGTTGGTGGCGCTATGCACTCTAATGCGCGTGCGGGAAGAGTGTTCCTGCCCAGCTGCGTGACTATTGACCCTGGTGGTAGCCGCTTGGCTGTGTTGGTCTTAACCTCCGGGCGTCCTGAGGGTCTCACGCGAAGCGGACATTGGCAAACTTAAAAACTACGTCACACACGACTATGCTTAATGGTCTAAACACACTGCATTTTTCTCAAGGCGGATCCTGGCCAGGCGCTTCGACGCGGCAACACATCCAGCAAGCTTTGAAAGCTATCGGTCCGATTAGATATTACCACTCCGGCTTGGGCCAAGAGGAGTGTGCTGCATAGATTCTACGTGTCCCTAGCGAAATACCAGCAAGCGTCCACGTTAGATTGAGATCATACAGCATGCTAAGCCATGGAGGCCTGGAACTTCGTTGGAAGTTGATTTGAGGACGATCTGCCGCACGTCACTGCACCAGTGAGCATGCAAAGTGATGATCGGCGGGCGTGATCTAACCGTACCTATGTTTACACCAAGAAAAAGGGTCCGATTCCACATACCAACCTTGATCGTGCATACGGCGCATTGGGAGGCAACTGGCGCAGAGCAAACTACTCTCACGATCGCGACTTGTACGAAACGAAAAGACGATGACATAGGATCATGGGGTCACCTACCCGCGTTCGGTTTCGCATGCCTTTGCCAGCATCTCGTAGGAGCGGCCGTTCTAGCCTAGTCCAACAGTGCCGTCCGCTAACCCGATTTCCCCGCGGTCGTCGCTGTGTGGTGCGCTAAAACACTAGATCCAGCTGCATCCGAAAGCTGGTGTTTAGATGGGCGACGCTTTTGAAACTTCGTCCCAGCTCTATGTGCGTGTCAGCAGTTCCGCATAGGAGTTCGCCGGGCACTAATGAACCTCAGGCTCAGTGCTCTAGTAGAGGATATACAAAGTTAATGCCCGATATGCATTGCGGATCTTTCATGTGAATTTTGCAGAAGCAAATCCTTCCCTCCACCACCTTACTCCGACATAGCTCCTTTTGTTGATAACTCCGCCCTGAGATATGCTCGCATTCATGCCGGCACAATCATCGAATTCGTCTCCGGGTACGTCGGCAATATGACCAGCTCTTGATCCCCCACTAATATACACCTCAGGATTGAACTACTGGTATGGCAGTGGCAGCTTGCCTGACACCTTAGAAGGACTTCCGCAAGGTAGCGCAAATCCCCGCTTGATGCGTCGTGCCTCGGAGGCTGTTGGACAAGCTCAAGGGATCCAAATGTGAGTATGTCAGTCTTTGCAGAATATCCCCACCATGGTATACACGACAGCAATCGATTCCCTTCTCTGGACCGGTTAGGACACATCTCGCGCCCACCTGGCACCCTACCACGATTCTTCAAATTACTCAACCAACGCCCAGAGCGTGACAGATGGCCTTTCAGTACGACGAGCGATGGCGTTTCCTCAGGCCTGCGGACGGCTCCAGTCCACATCATCGACCACAAAGACAGAGCATGTATCGAAGTACCGGTACGATCCGGATATGCCAAGAAATATACGGGAATCGTGAGAGATTGTCCAAGAAGTAGTCTTCCCGGGAAAGGATCGGCATTTCGTCTTACGTCCGCCCGTGGCTGTGCGTTTCGGCAAGTTCTACTGGCGACGGAGAATAAGTCCTCCATTCAGAGTCTCCTGATTATCATGGCGGTAATTTGAGAGACCTGCCCGTTGCGGCGTCAGGATGACCCGTGCATTGCTACCCATCCAAGGATTTCTTCGGCACTGCTCTCCGGGTTGCCAGATTTGGGCTGCGGGCGCGGGGTCCAAAGCACCATCGAAGGCGCGCATATGGATGCGTGTTTACGCAACAAGATGCGCAGACCGAATGCGCAACCACCAGGATGCATCCAGACCTGAAACTGCAATTTCAGAACTTCGACCTGGATTTCGCTAACAATTCATTAGCCAGGAGCCCTCTGAATGGGACGAAAGTCAAGTGCCCCTCCACCTCGATACCAACCAAACGAATCTAGTGATTCGTCCACTGGCAGCGTCCGCCGCTGCAAATCACAAAGCCCCGCTGGCACCCAAGCAGGGACTTGGGGGCGCCCTTGCAAACGCTCGAGGACAGCACCAGTCTCCGATTGCTGGTACCTATGCGTTACGAACCCCTCGCGGCAAGATCACATCTATAGCATGTGAAAGTTGCAGAAAACGCAAATCCAAGGTACATATCCACTTCATCTATGTTGGGATGAGTAGACTAACATGTGGTTCAGTGTGATGGTGTGAGGCCCAAGTGCAACACCTGTCAATCAAAAAACCTCACCTGTGTCTATGATGTGGCAGAAGATGGTAAAACAACAACTCAACTGAGGGCTCACGTCAGGCGACTGGCCAAGGAATTGGACGATATGAAGTCCGTTGTGTCGCTGCTGGCAATGGCACCGGATCGCGCGTCGGCAGCGAATTGGGCGTCCGAGCTTGAGAAGAATGGATTTGCACATCATTCAGCCGATGAAGTCAAGAAGGCGCTTTCGGTAGGTATGTTTCCGGCTACGGCTGGGATGCCACTGAGCGAGAAGCAGGAGTCTTTGGGTCCGACACCAGCACTCCCAGATGCCGATTCGTTCGGGACTCCAAACAGCAGCGAGCCGTTTACTGGCCATACGCATCCTATGGGGGGCTCATCTTACGGCAGTTCCTCTCGAGAAGAAAGGTGAGAATGATCAGTCAAAATGTCTACAAACGATAGCTGACAGTACTTACGCAGAGAACAAAGCCAGTCCTCACTGGCTTATTCGCATGACAATGCCGTTGATGTTGCCGTGCCCACGAACCCATCCCCACTCAGCCTCGAGGCTGCAGCGAACGCCTTGAACAAGTTCGGGTTCGATTGTGCGTTTTACCGGAGGACGAAACGAGATCTACTTGCGAATGGGTGGAGTGAGGTACAGATATTTGGAAGGTCTGAGATCGATGTGGACACTCTTTTACTGGGTTTCCTGGATCCGCAGGATGCGCAGCCAGTCTCGACATGGTGTTCCAGAACAGTAAATAAGCTGCTTCCGGCGTCTCCTCTTCCTGTTAGACTGGCGTCCACATGGCTTTTGACCAAACTGATGCGGGTAAGTCCATCGTTCCCGTGGCGCCGAGTCGTAGCTAATGCATCTACAGTATCTCATTTGGCCAAGTGTAGAGAATATGAATGCCAATCCGGAATGGTTGATGCCACCAGTAGGGAAGCAGGAGACATCTCCATATGATTTGCTCATTGATCTGGTTCCTTGGTATGTTTCCAGATTCTTTCTTTGATGAAGGCTTCCTACTAACAGTTCTACAGGCCTCAACTTCGCCAGCTACTATATCAACATCCCCGGGAATATCCAGTTGCCCATATCGTCGGCCTCATCGGTGTTACGTGGCCATATGCGGACGATGCGTGCCACTACTGGGATATTGAATCAGGGTACACCCGCATGACGCCGCTATTTGAGAGTACCATCGCCGATTTGAGCAACTGGACAGTCGACCCAAAGGTTCTTGAGATTATGCCTCAACTAGAGGGACACATTCCAGTAAAGCCGGTAGCATAATATTGTCGTAGAGTTTCGGGCCGTTCGGGTTGCAATTCCGGAGTTTGGTTCAATGTGGGGATTTCTCGGCAAGACCTGCTTTCGCATTTTGTGGTCATCATCGGTGTGTCTATCGTTTAGTTTTGGGCGTTGGTCATCTAACGGGGCGGCTGTCAGTGAAAACCGCATTTGAGGGATCAGTTTCAATGATCGACGATCCTAGAGTAAGTTCTGGGTACAATAATTGACGGAGGTAAAAGGACAACAAAATAAAAATGTAACATACTTCAATACTTGTAAGAAAGTGCAAGCTTGGCTGAAAAGAACCAGACGCGTTCTAGGCAGCGCGAGGCTATTCATATAACAGTCGTTCAAGTCCGCGGAAACAATCCAGCCCCGAACTCCACTACCGGCTTTCAGCTATGTGGCTCTCGTAGCTCTACCGTATCCACTTTGATGATTGTGATGCCAAGGCCAGACCGGATGAATCGTACCGGTGCGGCGATCGGTGGAACGTCTCGACTCTTCACAAAAGCGATCCCGCTAAAAACTTCACCATGGCCAATGATGATCATGATCGAGAACCGACTCGAGTCGTTCGATGTTTTTGGTTGGATAAATTTTAACGCTCGCGGTTGCAGCGCATATCTCGATCTCGCAACTGGCTTTGAGTCAATCTACATCCTCAAGACGATGATACTATCCGTACCTGAGAACGACATATCTTGGTTGCAGCTTTGCACCTTGCTGATCCCGGTAATCTAGAGGGCACGCGTGGGGACTTCGGCTTCTGCCGTGGTTAAATGACCCACTCGCGGCAGATAGTTCTTTCGGGTAGGCATCAGGAAAAGGTCCATCCTTTGGTCGGTAAGGGCTTTCGGGGTGTTGTTGTATGAGCTGAGCAGGTGCATCAGTCAGAGAGCGACAGCTCTGGCCTTTTTGTGAGGTTTGCTCTCCGCGGAAGCCGCAATGGCCCGGCCAAGTATCTTCCCGCCCTTATATCCTGACATTGCAACCATTGTCCGACTATGTTCTAGCTTCGACGAACCAGTCTCTCGGAATCTAGTTATCCTCAGATGCATTTCTACAGATTTCCGTTGCAACATACCATCCCTACTGTAGAGCTGAAACCGCTCGGTAAACAAAGTGGTGTCGAACCAACTGCCAAGCATACAAATGGAGGCCACGTATTTGGAAGTACCTCGCTACCTCTTTTTCGAGGATTTATCCACTCCACATGGGGAGGCTGCACGCACACGCGAAACGCTGCCTCTGAGAGGGGTGTAGCGGTTTGAGTATTTCGATACTGAACTCCATATCCAGACTAGTGTGCCTTATGAATGCTAGATGCTTGAGCCACAACCAAATTTTGATCACTCCGCCTGCCAATGAGCATGCGGCGCTCCCGCACCGACGATCATCCAGCTTTAACGCGGCGGAGGATATCTTTCCAGGCTGACGTACATGCAACCACGAGAAGAGCGGAAATCAAGCGATACCTACCTATGGTGTCACCCGGTAGAGGAGCCGGTGGACAAATTCATATGAACATCTGCATGGAACCTTGGAAACGTCAAAAATAATTCACAATCGCATGTGCTTGCTTATTGCCAACATGCGCAAATCAAATCCCATCTCGCGATACCATCTCCACACCATACGTCAAGTACACTCTATCCTGGTTGTCACAAATAAGACATTCGCCCAAGGGAAGGCATGGTTCCGATTGGCTCCAATTCAGCGTAATTACAATAACCACCACCACCACCACCAACTATGCGATTATCTGGATTCGGACCGAATATCCCATCAAGCACACGTCGGCCGTCATTCCCGGCACCCCTGTCATGCAAACGGTTGACGTGATCAGATCGCGATGCGTTGGCCACAGCGTCGGCATGTTGGAAAACGCATGGTCTACTGAATGCGTGAGCGAAGAATCATCAACATCCTATTTAATTATCCTATAGCTCAAGTTGCTACCTGGCCTCTTGCACTCTTCATTAAATATGAATCCTGTAAGTGATACGTTTCCAACGGCTCTGATATTACAAAATATGCGGACTGGTTCCGCATTAGACATTACTCAGGCCTGGGTCAAACAAAAACTGGGTATCGTGTTATGTCGCGTAAGCAAGCTGACAAGTTGAAGCATTCAGCATACCAGTGAATGGTCGAGAGCAGGGAAGATGATCTCGGGATCCGCCAAAAGAACATCTCACCTCAGAAGAGATCTTCAGCCATCGAGACGCTGTGTCCGGTTCCTCCACTAACAAGATGTCCACAACTTGCTCGATCACACCGAAGTAGCTCTGTGCCCTTGTCGCCGACCAAGTCAGCTATCCCCGTGATCCATCCACTCCGCCCAGCCGTCTTAATGTCGTAAGTAATCTTACTGTCTATATGGCCGACATGGCCTCCGATAATCTTGTTCACTCTCACTTTGCCCTCGGGGTCAGAAACGCGAATGACCATGGTCGCATTCTTCCTAGCAGCAAGGATACGCGACTGTGCTACGAGACGCGATCGCATCGGCGTAAGGACGACTTCTGTAGGACTTGGATCGAACATCGTAGAGCCGACTACAGAATCTACACGTGATGCCGACGTCGCCCTGTAGGTAAAGGATCCATGCATTTTGGGTGATAATGTAGCAGGCTCTTCTAGCATGATGGAAAACCCGTCTGAAGTGGAGATACGTGACGCAGTCGCAAATTTGGACGTATCGGATGGGAGAAGTGCTGTTGCGAGAGGCTTACAGAGCGATTGGATGACGCCTTGGGGATCGTGAGGTATGCGAATGCGACGGAGCGATGGGAAGGCGTGTGCCTGGATACCTACCGCAAGCAGAGACGTCGCGAGGCAAGCGATTGGTTCGAGATTCGTGAAAGGGAATGTTCGCGATTCTGGCAGTTCAATGGACGAAGACGAAATGAACGAAGGCAGAGGAGAAGCCTCAGAGCATAACTCCCAGTGGATAAATCGAAGCGACGGCGATCGAAAACTAGGCTCCGAGCTTCGACACAGTAAGGTAGGGGCGCTTGTTTGAACAAGTGAGAATTCTGTTAGACTCGCAAGGTGTGGAGACAGTATGTCTGCTATGGTGAGAACACTTTCAATGTCCAAGTCTATGAGTGCCAGCTTTTGGATGGAAATTGCCTGCTGAGAGATGGCGAAGCGTTGTATGCTCTTTTCCGTTATGCCGGGGAGATTCTCAAGGCGCAGAGATTCTAGATTAGATGGTATAGCGTTCAGGGCCATGCTGGCGAACGAATTCGCCGCCAGTCCAGATACCACAAGATGACGCATATAAGGAGAGTTTCGAAAAGTCCCAACAATAGCTCGGAAATTTAGGCTTATCAAAGACCGACCCTGCTCTTGATGCAATACCAAAGTAGATAGCGCGGAATGGATAGAGCTGAGTTCAAGGAAGCGTTCGGTTGGGTCGCATTCGGCAACATATATGCCTCGTAGCCTCTCTTCATCATCGTCTACTCCCGTCTCCATATCTGTATCGGCCAATATCAACACCCGCTCCTTGAGATTTGGTCTTGTTGACAGCGCATGTGACAACCGATCAAATGCCTGCGAGGAGTGGACGTGAAACCCTACCAGGCGTTCTAAGCGTGGACAGGCCATGACCAAAGAAGCTACCAAGTTCGCAATCTCTTCTCGCTCGATGGTTGCATTTTGATAGAGCGACTGGAAGTCAAGCATGTGTAGTTCTCGTACACGTCGAGCTAATCCTGAGTTGGCGCGAAGCGTCCTCCGTAGTAGTTTAAGTCTACTTGTGCCTTTGATCCTGAGCTTCGGGAGCCCAGTGTGTTCTTCATTAGCAAGTACTAGGGCTCTGTAGTACATGGTTGTACTTGTAGCCTTTTCCCATGCACGACTCGTCAAGGAAAGGCTGTGAAGGTCTCGTAAATAGCATGATGAACAAGCTTGGTCGCGGTCTTGATGGATATTTTCAAGTTGCGCAACTATGCAGTTGTATACCTCTTTAGGGAGGTTCTTGAAGACTTGCGCAGGAAATCGATATTGGGGTCTTGAGCGTCGTTGTGTTGAGTTCCACTTGGCTCGTTCGAGTTCCCATGGGGTTTTAGTCAGGCGTGGCACATCCCAAGCATCATATGCTACGGTTTGATATGTGCGCAGGATTGAACTTTCGGTATGGAATGAGGGACCCGCTGGTCGTGTAACTGCCCTTGGAACTGGCACTGATTTGAATGATGTAGAGGTCCGATTGGTGGATTCATTGATGGATCTTGGTCGAGACGGCTCGGATCTAATGATGGTTAGTAAGTTGATATAACACCATGTTAGTGATGAACGGCCTGTAGTGTTTCAACATAGTACCATGAAAATACTTCAGGTATCACAGTGGTCTCGCCCTGTTGCCTCCACATTGCATGTTTTAGGGATAAATGGCGTTGCTCGAGCAAACTTACACATCGGTTGTATGCCTCTCCTCCTTATCTTTCCGAGATCTTGATAGGCGAAACATGATGCGATGTCCTAATCAAAACGACGCCGCAGCTACTGAGGACTGAAAAAGAAATGAGCGTAAGTGTCGAGTGTACGGTATCTGGTGTGGTATCGCATCGGTTGAACCATGAACAGTTTACCCAAGCGCGTGTAAGACGGACCGCAATGTTTCAGCTCTGGGAACACTCATATATTTCCCACACCCCACTTGGATATCACTCCGCACGGGCATCAACCGAGCATAATGCCGTTAACAAATCATGAACTATCTTGCTCTTAAAGCTGAACGCCGGCATGTTAAATCTGCAGCGGACGAGATCAGCGGCTCAATCAGAAAAATGCATGTACGCCACGAGCGTGTCATGGCGACAACACTAAGGTTCGACAGGTCGATTCCTTCGGCTGTTTCTGGAGATTACGAATCCTGAGCTGGATTGGCAAGGGTTTAGCGCCACCGAAAGCGCGGATATGGGGAATGACAGGTTGCGGGACCAGGAACGAGATGTCTTTTCTTGGTCGTTATTGTTGTGCTATGGTTGTGCAACCTTATGACGGACTTCTACAGCGCACACTCTCAAGAAGTCATACAGATAATACTTTGCCCAAGCGCTGAGCAGGTATGGTTGTTGTCTTGAGCCTGAGGCAAACCTTGATGTATTTATCGTGTGGAAGGCTGGGAGAACTGTGAAAGGGTCGAATGAGATCCCGGAGCCATCACGGCCCTAGTTGGCGATCCAATCTCTGATCTTCGAATTCCTTTCGCCAATCGAAAGCACGGACATTGCGAAACACTAGGGGCCTATCCCAAGCAACTGCATGCATCCGCTGTTGTGGAGGCCCGAACATTAGCCTTTTGTCGGTTCTTCTGGCAAGATATTCAGCGATAGCAGAATCGTGTACGATACGATGGTAGCACAATTTCTCGCTGGTTTTTGTAGATTGCTAGAGTCATTCCTGCGTTGATGTTTCTATGACGTCCGTGCTATGGAAGGATCAATACCCGCTTCCTTCGAAATTTCGACGGCCCTTCTGGTCGGATCCGACATTGTTTCGTTTGCACAACTGAGCAATATATTTGCGTACAATGGGACCCTTGTCCCTGGTGCCATTCCTGATATCAGCCCGTCACAGCTGCAGACAGGTACCCGTATGGTGACACTTCGTGTAAGCACTCACGTTTGCTTTATCACAGAAAGTGGGAGTTCACGCATCCAGGGGGCAGCCGTGTCGACATCATCGCGCGGGTGAACAGGATCCGGCATTGATACGCGATAGGGTTCACGAAATCTAAGTGCTTCCTTGAGCTACCGCCAAAAGTTAAAATTGCCCTATGCAGTAGGCGTTGAATGCAGCACTAAAATGTCGTGAGTGTTTAGCGTTTGAATCCTTGTTGGAGTAGTTCTTTAGCACGGAAACTTGTAAGCTCCGAGCATGCTGAAACTGTTTTAATGGGGCAGCCGGTGCGGTGGCTTGAGCGCTACTTTGTGGCACAGTTCGTGAGACCAGTTTAGCAGGCACGAAATGCAAGGCCACATGGACGAATTGTCTCGGTTAAATTACAACCGAAGAAGGTTTTGCGCAAGGTCCCAAGTCATCAGACACCTCCCATGATCTCATCTCTTTTGGCTGGACCGCGTTATGTCGTAGACCTTTGTGCATAGGAAGGAGTTGTCCCTTGTGAACAATGCAGTAGGTGTATTGCAAGACGTCATCATCTCATCAGACAGTCGTGCGATTGGTGTGATACCGGGTAAGTTTTCCGAGATGAAACAAAGCTATTAATCTTGAGGAGGTGGAGAAAACTGTCACATCAAGCTACAAATCCTAGAAGAACCCAAAGCATCTGCCCACGTTGTTACAAATTCTGTTGTTGACTATTATCCAATTACTAGTTGGAACAGAACAGCGAGAAGGTCAAATGCACAAATGCACAAGTCGTTCTGTAGTTTTCGACAAAAAGCAAAATTTAAATTCATGTCTAACAACGTGACTGGGTGAGCATATGTATCGCTCAGGTATATTACATTAAGCTATAACGATCGTTCTTCATATATCATCCCCCTGGATATCATCTACGCGACAGCCCTTGTACAGTATGCTGGGCTTACAAGAAGTAAACAGCAGCGGCACCGAAAAGCGCACCCATGCCAATGGCACCGGTTTGCCTAGGGGCTGCGTTCTCACCAGCACTGGTGGCAGCAGAGTTGGTGGGGTCAGCAGCCTCGGTAGCCTCCTGGTTGATGCTGGTAGTAGGAGTGGGCTGACCACTGGTGTACGGGACGTCGGAAACAGATGAGGCTCCCTCGAACGCAGGCTCACCCTCGTCGGAAGTAGAGTCAGCAACGGTAGCGTTGGAGGGGTTCAAGACTTCATCGATGACGTGAACGACACCGTTGGCAATAAGAATATCGGAGGCGACAACACGAGCGTTGTTCACAAAGATGCCGCCGTCACCGATGGTGATGGTAAGGCCCTCGCCGTTGGCAGTAGTGAGAGTAGTGCCATTCTCAAGAGTCGATGAGTAGCCAATACCGCCTTGTGTGACAACATGGTAAGTAAGAATGCTGGTAATGTCCTCGGTGCTGAGGTTGCTAAGCGCAGATCCAATGTTCTGGAGAGCCTCGTTGTTGGGGGCGAAAATAGTGATGTCGGGAGTGTCGTTGACGGTGTCGAACAGATTGGTCGCATTGATGGCTCCACGAAGGGAAGAGAGTCCAGCAGCGGAAAGTGTGTCGGCAGTGTTCTCGGGAATAGCCAACACAGTGTCAATGATGTGAATCACACCACCAGTAAAGTTTACATCCTGAGACTATTAGCGGTCGAAATGGGGAGGTAGAGAGAGGATCACATACCGCTGTTGTGACAGTAGAGTTAGTCAAGAGACCACTGTAGAATACTACATTGTCGCCGCTGGTTACACCCTCGACAACCTGACCTCCAGTGACGTTGGTGAAAAGAGGGTTGGTCAGCGCGGTAGGGACGAAAGCGCTCGTGTTGGTGATAGCGCTGGAAGGGAATGTGCCATTGAGCACGTGGTATTGCAAAAGGGCAGTGAGAAGCCCTTCGTTAGAGGTAAGTCCCGAAAGTGTCTCGTTGTCAATTTTTCCAAAAGCAGAGTTGGAGGGGGCGAGAATAGTGATGTTGGTGAGACCAGCCAATGTCTCCAATACGCCCGCAGGAATGACCGACTGAAGAGTTGAAAGCTCATCCGTGGAGTTCAACGCAGCTGCAAGGTCCGGAACGGTCTCATTTTGAGCCAGCGCGAAGCTCGCAAGGGCAAGTATGGAGAGATGCTTGAGCATGATGATGAGAGTTCAAGCTGACGTTACTACGTGATCGATGCTGGGATGGAACGAAAGAAGGTAGTATGAGGTGGATGATTTCCAGATGCTTCACTACCAGAGGGGAAGTTGGGTAATAAGTACTATGGCACCCATGCACATAGCCACAGACGATTTGTCCCGCCAGGTATCAAGTAGGGTTGGCATTGCTCTTCCAAGCACATCTCGAACCAAACGCCACCGGCCAGTTCTGTCCGGAACCCATGTTGACCAATAAGGGGTCTCTTCGTAACACGGTCGTCCAGGGCGAAGCTTGTAGCTCTCAGCGTTGCCCAGTGACAACCGGAAAGAGTTTGCCAAGTGATCGCGCAAGTGGAGCTATGACACAGCTGAAGCTGTAGATGCGACCAATGTATCGTGATCGAATTTGGCTAGCATTCTCCGCATGCATCGCATGTGGCATGGTATGGCATGCCGGCATTGGGGCTGTCGATC